TGGTTTGATGCTTTTTTAGCAGGTTATGTACTTGCTGGATTGAGAAGTCCTTATGGAATATAGAATCAGTGGGAATTCAGCCTGTTTGCTAAGATAGGGATGAAACCTGTCACTCAGTGCTCTTTGTACCTAAACATTTTCAAAATCTGTCCCTTCTCTCTGATCTGAAAGATTTCAGTTCCACTTTTCTTTCACTGTTTCTAGAATGCTAGTAACATAGTACAGGGTAGAGTCTAGCTCTGACAAGATCTGTTCATTGAAACTGCAAACTTATCAACAATGGCAACTGGTGCCATCAAGTACCACATGAACAGTCTCGCTTGCCATGGAGACTTTTTTTTAAATAACCTCTTACTATCTTAATATAATTTTCTTTTGATTAAGTAATTTAAACATTTTTACTGCATTAATTTTACATAGCATGTTGTTGGGTGTTCAGATGAAGTAGTATTGGCACTTTTAATTAAAACATGGAAAAGAGAATATGTATTTTGCCCTTTCTCCTTGATTTATAACGTGGCATATTATTAAACCTCTGTAGTTCAGATAGTCTTTTACTTAGCTGCAATTTACGTGTACATATCTTTTTTAAAAAAAATATTGAATAGGAAATGACTATAGGATTTAAGAAAAATTGCCTCTCAAATGTAAATCTACCCATTTTGGCATTAAATGTATATAAACCTTGTTTCTACTATATAATTTGTAATTTAACCAATTTTAAGAAGTAATTTGCCCTTTCAGACTGTTTCAAGGATTTAGAATTTTTGTGTATAGTAGTTCATTTGCTGTAGTTGTGATTTTATTGGTTTTTTATTCAGTTCAGTAGCTTCCTATAAAAGACGTTGAGCAGTGATTGTTCAGGAATGATTTTGTCTTACTGTTTTATAAAACTGTGGTCTATAAACCATAATAATTACAGAAATCACAAAGGTCTTTTAATACATTTTTTAAAAAGATTTTATTTATTAGAGAGTTCAAACAGTAGGGAGCGGCAGAGGGAGAGGGAGAAGCAGACTCTTTGCTGAACAGGGAACCAACATGGGGCTCAATCCCAGGACCCTGAAGTCATGACATGAGCTGAAGGTAGACACTTAATTGACTGAGCCACCCAGGCGCGCCTGTGTTTTTAACTGCTAAAATTTTATTTGGCTCAACCTGTCCTATTTAGAAAAGTAATGGAGTGGCAATGGAATAGATTTGGTGTTTAGTTAAGAGAAATGTAAAGTCACAGTTAAGTCATTAGAAAAGTCATTTTTAAGTTGAAAATTCACCACAACAGTAAGACCAATGTTGAGTTAAACTATAGCATTTGGACTCAATGTGGAGACTGTAAATTTGTTCATTAATAGCAGTTGCAATAAAACAGTATAACACAGTGGTAGTATTATGTTTCACATTGATTTTTCAATTATTTGAATATGTTTATCTTGTTGCCTAGTTAAGTGTTTAGTTGACTGTGCTTATTCAGGTTACCTAACATGAATAGGCATTGTTTCATTATTTGTCATGCAGTATTACTGAATTGGTGGGTATGAGTATATCTGTAAATACATCATAAGGTTATATATGTCCCATTTCTTTGAGCTTATTTCATCACCGATGTATTTCTATACTCATTGTGATAAAACATAAAAAGTCATAAATCATTTTGTCTATTTTTTTTAAATGTTCATTAAGTATATTGAAAAAAGAATTTCAAAGAAAAAGTCCTTAAAAATCTTTCATGTTCTTCTCCTACCACATTAACCCCCCATGTTGCATCTCCTCTCCCTCATATCAGGGAGATCATATGATAGTTGTCTTTCTCTGATTGACTTATTTCGCTAAGCATGATACCCTCTAGTTCCATCCACGTTGTCGCAAATGGCAAGATTTCATTTCTTTTGATGGCTGCATAGTATTCCATTGTATATATATACCACATCTTCTTTATCCATTCGTCTGTTGATGGACATCTAGGTTCTTTCCATAGTTTGGCTATTGTAGACATTGCTGCCATAAACATTCGGGTGTACGTGCCCCTTCAGATCACTACGTTTGTATCTTTAGGGTAAATACCCAGCAGTGCAATTGCTGGGTCATAGGGTAGGAGAAGAGTAAATGAAGCAAGATGGGATTGGGAGGGAGACAAACCATAAGTGACTCTTAATCTCACAAAACAAACTGAGGGTTGCTGGGCACAGGGGGGTTGGGAGAGGGGGCTGGTTATGGACATTGGGTAGGGTATGTGCTATGGTGAGTGCTGTGAAGTGTGTAAACGTGGAGATTTACAGACCTGTACCCCTGGGGGGGGAAAAATATATATATATGTTTATAAAAAATAAAATTATAAAAAAAAATCTTTCATGTTCCATTAAAATGGAATTTTTTTCTTCTTGTTTGAGTAATAGCCTATTTCAAGACATTGTAAATACATGTAAATAGATCTATGAGAAAAGTATGATTACTGACAAATTACCCTTCAACTTAATTCATTAACACAGCAGACATTTACCACCTCATGATACTTATCATCCCTGCGTCAGGAATTTGGAAGCAGGTTAGCGAAGTATTTCTGGCTCTGAATCATGAGATTGCAGTTAAGCTGTAGATCAGTTCTGCGGTCTTCTCAAGGTTCCACGGTGACTGTAGAATTCACTTCCAAGCTCATTCCCATTTGGCTACTGGAAAGAGACCTCAGTGCTCTGTTGACTAGAGTCCTCATTTCATTGCCACATGGTACTCTCCATAAGGCTGCTTTACTGTCCTTGGAGCATAGCAGCTGTTTTCCCTAGAAGTGATTCCAGAGTGAGAGCAAGGATGATGCCACAATACTTTGTAGTCCTAGTCTCTGAAGGTAGACACCCTCACTTCTGCTGTTCAGTTTGTTTAGAAGCAAGTCCCTAAATTGAGCCTACTCTCAAAGGGTGGGGAATCAGGCTCTGCCTTCAAAGGCAGGAGTGAAGAATTGGCAGACGTACTTAATGACCACAGTAATGTAAATTAGGAAGTCTTAGAACATATGATAAATGCTATATTAGTTCCTTAATAGAGTAGTTGTCAATTCTGATGCTGTATTAGACTCATCTGTGTAGCCGTTCTAAAACAAAAAAGCAAAACACAAATGGTTTGAATTAGGTCTGTTGATTTGCTTGCAGTCAGGTGTTTCTATAGGTGTTTTTTACTGTGCAACCAAAGCTCTTCATTATCTTTTAAAAGATGTACTGTTTGATTCAGTGACATACGTTACTGCTGTTCTTTTGTAGAACTGTTACAGAATAGAGCTGAATACAGTATGTACAGTTCATGGCACAAACTAGGTGTTCGGTAGATATTAGTGTTGGGCTATTGCTATTATTTTATTCTTATTTAACCTAACTTATAAAGTGATCATTAATTAAATGGATAACAATTTTAGCTTTATCGAAAAACAGTTAATTTGGCTTTTTGTCAGGATGGGCATGGCTCAGGCATCAAAAACTTTATTGCCTCACTCTGTTCCTCCTTCAGTTAGTCCCCACTGTCTCCCCACATCCAAAAAAAAAAAAAAAACCAGTAATGTTTGTTTGTACTTCCATATATTTATTATTCAAACATAAGCCAGTCCAAATACATAGTTTTTTCTCTTCCCCCCACACAAATGGTAACATGATGACCAGTTTTCTCTACCTTGCTTTTTAAACATAACAAATTATAAGGAGAATTTCTGTGACAGGAACACGTCCTCATTCTTTTTTGTGTCTTTTTGCTGTATTCATTCTTTACTGTAGATTAGTATAATTTCTTTTTCCAGTCCTCTGTAAATGGACATTTTGCACATTTCTTATTTTGCAATGAATGTGCCAATGAGACTTGTGTATGTGTCACTTTGTATATGTAAGTATGTCTGTAAAGTAACTTCAGAGAAGTAGAATTGCTAGGTCATTTGTACTTGGGATTGGATGCTACCATTCCTTAGGGGCTACCAGTCTCCTCACAGCAGCCACAGTGTTTGAAAACTGCTTGTATCCCCATAGTCTTACCTCCAGAATATATTTTCATACCTTTACATTTGCCAGCTATATAACTGTAAAATTGTATTTCAGTATAGCTTGAGTTTGAATTTCTCTTATGGATGAGGGTGTATTTTTACTCATTTAGACTTATTTTTCTGTTTAGTGTCTATATTATTTGTTTCCTTTCTCTTACAGTTTTGGTCTTACTGATACAAACTACATATTAGGAGAATTCACCTTTTGGAATGGGAAGCTTTTTTTGTCTTTTGACTCTTTCATTCCAAAGTTTTTGGCTTTTTTTTTTTTTTTGGTGTAATCAAATCATTCTTATAGATTTCTGTCATTACTCAGAAAATCTTCATTACTCCAAAGTTGTAAAATAACTTTCTTATTTTTTTCCCTAATACTTCAGTGGTTTCATGTTTTTCAGTTTTAGATTTATTATGGTGTATAGAATCAGTTATGGAACCAACTTAGTTTTTAAGTAGATAACTATCAACTTGTCTCAGTATCATTTATTGTGTAATTCATCCCTTGTTCATTGACTTGGATGCTACCTTTATAAAATCAAAATTCATACATTTATTTACTTGGGTCTGTTTCTAAACCTGTAGTATGTTTTCAGGTTTTCTTTTAGTGCCCTCTCTGTCTGGGTTTTCTAGCTAGTTCTTGGGGTGGAGGTAAGGCAAGGGCGCTTTTTGTATTTTTATTCTTTCCATGCTAATAGTTTTTGATGGTACTGTGTTATAACTTCTCTTTTTAGTAATAATAAAGCCTACGGCGTTTAATACATATATTAGTACAAATGTGGAAGGATACAGAGTAGTGGCCATGTATGTAATATAAAATATATTACTATAAGGGAGAACTTAACATTTCTTTATTGCTTTCCATGGGTAGCTGCTTTTTACATATATTAATCCACTTAACTGTTTATCATACAACTAAGTCTGTAACTGGAATTTTTAGAATGTGCAATTGTTTATGGCTAAATTTCCTTCAATATTGCTTTTTTTTCTTCAGTTGTGATGCAGATCCATCAGCCCTAGCAAAATATGTTCTCGCTTTGGTAAAGAAAGACAAAAGTGAGAAAGAGTTAAAGGCATTATGTATTGATCAACTGGATGTATTTCTTCAAAAAGGTAACATCTTTAGTTTAAAAATACTACTTTATTTTAATAAATCCTTTAAAGCGAGATTTACCATAATATTAAAGGAACTCAATAAGAGAATAGACTATAATTGTAACAAAGTTGAATAAACAGTATTATTACTGATTATAGCTTATTTATAATGAAAACCTTTTTCATTAATATCTTTATTCTCTTTCTTAAAGCAAGCTGGTATTTTTCCTTAAAAGATTAAGTAAATGAATGCTTGTTTATTTAAAGATCGTGTTGCTTAAGAAACTACTTGGAATGTTAGCTTGATACTGCTTCTAACTTTTTTCATTTTGCTACTGTCTAGATAATAATAATACTTATGTTCAGCACTCTGGGTGCAGGGTCAGAGTCTAGTAATGGCTGGAAGTGACTGGCCCAGAAGCTCTGGCCATCTTAGTTCCACTACCCTGAATTTGAATGGATTAATATTACCATAAGATTTGTGTCATGACTCACTGGTTGGGAAGCTGTTGGTCTTAGTATATTTCCAGAGTTATAAAAGTCAGTATATACTTCATCATATTGAACTCTGATGTGTAGAAGAGGAGGAATCAATCTTAGTAAGTGTCTTTAATCTACATTTTTTTGGTCTTGGTTTTTGTTTTTAGAGACACAGATATTTGTGGAAAAGCTTTTTGATGCTGTGAATACAAAGAGTTACCTACCTCCTCCAGAGCAGCCATCATCAGGAAGCTTAAAGGTAGAATTTTTTCAGCACCAAGAAAAAGATATTAAAAAAGAAGAGGTAAGGATTTGTGTGTAAAACCTTAGATGCTCTTTAAAAATATAAGGAATCATTAAACTGAGTTTTACTTTCTGTATTTGTGTCAAGGGTCCTCAGGATCATCCGTAGGAGCAGTCATAGCACTTAGCGCTTAGTCATACTCAAGGCTGTGACTTCCTACATCAGAATCAGCAAAAAGAAAAAGTAGGTGTTGCACAGTCTGGGGGAAAACAGACATAAGCTTCCAGAGACTTCTCCTAGGAGAGTCACAAAGGATGCACGTAACAAGTAGTTTCAACACATTTGAACAAGGGAAGCTCATTAGAGACTCAGTGTCCAGGGTTTTTATTTGCGGCTGGTCACAGATGCACCTTCTGCCTACTATGTACTAAAATTGCGATTTCCCGGAGGAAAGCATGTGTTCAGCTTAGAGCCATATCAGTGACACAAAACAATTCAGGCATATGGTGAGCTATTATTGTCAGGGAATGATGGGAACCCTCCAGAAATCAAAGTTCACAGATACCAGCCTAGAGCCTACCTTATACGAAGCAGGCCTTTCTAAAGATAACAGTCTTAGGCTTGCTTTTTAACTGTTTTCTGCATAGTATCTTATATCTGTGGACTTTCATTATCTGTGTTCTGTGAAAATAATTAGATTAACACTAGACTAATTTGCTCTGTCCTGCCTGCATTTTGTAGGGGACTGTTTTTAAGGTAGTCATGTCTAAAGACCTTCACAGGGCAGTGGGCATGACTTCATCCTTTAAGAGATTTTGAAGAGTTTACCTTTTATACAAGATTGCCGTTCTTGCTTAATAATCATAAAAATTCAGATCTTCTCAATTTGATGTTTAAAGATTGTAAATTCGAGCAAAACTAATTGATAGTTAAGCTGATATATTTCTGCAGTTAGTCTTGCTTTAGGTCAAATAAATCTTGGTTAAATTTTTGCTTTATCAGTCAGTGCTTTATGAGCTTGGAAATGTTACTTTTCCAAGCCTTAGTCTGCTTAGCTGTGAAATGGAAATATATAGGGTTTTTTTGAGGAATAATAAAATGTTGTCTCTAAAGCACTTGGCGTAGTGTGTAGCACATAGTATATTCTCAATAAATGGCAGTTCCTATTATTGTTGAGAGATTGTTGGTGTGATGGAAGATGTGATTGGGTTTTTCCCCTCATACTCTTTTTTTTCTTTACAGATTATGTAAGTAATGTTTATTATGTAATAATATATGTATAACTTTACATAGTAATTCTCAAATATATTTTTATTTCTGTATCTGAACATATTTACACACATGTACATGTATATAGTTACACAGACGTGCACATAAAACACCTCTTCTCTGTGTAAGGGAAAACCAGAAATAATTTTGTGCGTATTTCATACCTAACAGTGGGGGTTCTGTTCTGTTAATAAGGCAGAAAGGAAGAGTGGCTGTGGTGCTGGCACACTGCTTATACCACATAGAGATGCACAATAATTTATTTAAGTTTTGCTCACCAATGGAAGTTTGGTGGGTTAGTTCTAGATTTTTGCTGTTTCAAATCATATTTTAATTCTTAGATAATCTTAAGCAGTCTTCTCTTGATTTGAGAAGCAGTAAGAAGTCTATCCCCAAAATGAGTTAGTGGCAAAAACCTTAGTCCTACGTCTATTGACATAATAATATTTCTCCACAGTTTTCTTGACCAATTGTGAAGGATATTTATCCCTGATCTTTCAGAACTGTCAAAATGTCAGATGACAACCTGGATTTAAAATACCGTGGGTATAGTAAAAGTTCCCAGTTGAGCATGTACTGTGGAATATGATGATCTCTCAACATAAATTACTCGCGAGTGTGTGTTGAAGCAAGTAGAAGGGAAAAGGTGCATTGAACCCTGTTTTGCTTTGTTTTTTTTTTTTTGTTTTTTTTTTTTTTTTTTTGGGTGGGAAAGGGTTGAAATGGGTGGGAAAAGGAGAATGAAAGTATTTATAAGAACAAAAAGACTGTTAAAAAAAGAAAAAAAGAAGGCTTTTAAGCAGTGCTTCTCAGAGTTTGGCCTATTGATAGGATTTCCATTTAATTTATCACCCAACATTGGACACTTCTGACAGTAAGAGGCTTTTACCCAGAGGGGTATTGGAACAGCTGGCATAAACTGGGACACTGTTATATTATCCTGAAGACTGCCTGCATCAGATTGTCTTAGAGTTCTTATTAAAAGTGCAAAATCTTGAGTCCTTTCGTATTTACAGAAGCCACATGTTCAGTATTTCCTGTATTTGTTTATCCTCTAAATCTTTTTTTTTCTAGTAACACCTGTTAATGTCCTATATAACCAGTGTTCTGGACAGTATAGCATGGAAAATTCTGGCCTCAGAAAAGTAGCCCTGATAAAGGGAATGTTTTCCAGGGCTGCTTGCTATTGATAATATAATACGAATGGAGGCCCCTTATAGGAAAGAGGAATATATAGCTGCCATACTGTTGAGAACTGGAGAGCTGTTTGATCTTATGTATCATTTTCTCTTATTTCTCTTTTTCTGACTTGGTTAATTCTAACGCATTCTGCTATATTTCCTAATGTGTTTGGTGCTAGGCCAAATCTGTGGAACCAAAACAAGAGTGTGTGTTAAAATTTCGAAAGAATTAAAATTGACTTTCTACTAATAATGTTAAAATGAGGACATTGGCCTAAGTGTTTTCCCACCACTATTATCTAAGATAAACATTTCTGAGTTTCTTTAGCATTCACTTTAACTTTCAGCAAGCCTTTCTTCTGTGGTTAAATTAAGTGATTGTACTTAGAAGAGAAATTTTTTTTAATGCTTTTAGAAAAGAATAATTTCACGTCTGTATTTTCATGTCAATTAAATCATTGAACTAGTGACATGGCAAGGAATAATTTGCTAAACTTAATGCATATTTTTCTTTGTATATCAGATCACAAAGGAGGAAGAGCGAGAGAAGAAGTTTTCCAGAAGGCTAAATCATAGTCCTCCCCAGTCAAGTTCCCGATACAGAGAAAATAGGTGATTGATTGATTGAACCATGTTCAGTGTTTAGACATTGGATATCTTTTATATGAATGCTTAGACTTGATTATCTTTCACCTAGGGGCAAGTAATATCTACTCTTCTGTTGGTCTAGGAAAGTGTAACTCAGTTCCTTTCTTACAAAGAATATCTATATCAGATTCGTAGGTCCTAGAAGTGAGATCTGGAATAGTGCTTAAAAAAATTATTATGGTATTTATTTCTAACTTCAAATTCCAGTGAAATCTTTTTTTTTTTTTTCAAGATTTTATTTATTTATTTGACAGACAGAGATCATAAGTAGGCAGAGGGGCAGGCAGAGAGATAGGAGGAAGTGGGCTCCCTGCTGAGCAGAGAGCGTGATGCGGGGCTCGATCCCAGGACCCTGAGATCATGACCTGAGCTGAAGGCAGAGGCTTTAACCCACTGAACCATCCAGGCGCCCCTCCAGTGAAATCTTAATGTGAGAACTTTTTTGCATGAAGTTTCCCTTTAGTGTGAATAAATTATTTTTCCCATTGAGATTTCAGAAGCATTTAGTGTGGGCAATAGGTGGGCCACATGCCTTTAAGTATGAGGTTGTGTGTGTACAGGACACCATGTGCTAGGAGATGGCATGTACTGATCCTAAATGTATAGATGTCTTTGTGTATAAGGGTAAAGATTGAGACTTTGACAGTTTTTTCCCTTTAAAGGGGTTTTAGAGTTCTTGAGCAGATCATGTTCAGTTTTTCAATTTGAGTTTCCTAAATATGTGGTGGAATAAAGAATCATGATGTTTACAGGAATTAAATGTGACTTTTTCATTTAATGAGTTTTTTCTGTATCCACTTAATTATTTTCCTAAAAGTGATCATTTATTTCTTTAGAAGTCGTGATGAGAGGAAAAAAGATGATCGTTCTCGCAAAAGAGATTATGATCGAAACCCTCCTCGAAGAGATTCATATAGAGACCGGTACAATAGAAGACGAGGCCGAAGTCGCAGTTACAGCAGGAGTCGGAGTCGAAGTTGGAGTAAAGAGAGGCTTCGTGACCGGGATAGGGATAGAAGCAGGACTAGAAGCAGAAGCAGAACACGAAGCCGGGGTAAATAATCCACATATATGTGTGTTCTGATTAGCATTCTTCTTTTGTGAATAAGCTATATTTGAGGATTTTAAAAATGGTTTTAATTTTTGTCAGCGTTGTCTTCATTTTTCTATTGTGATGTATTTTGTGGTCTAAATGAATGTTTTTTAAAAAAATTCCTTTAAAAATTTTATTTAATGCTAATTAAAACCACAGTGAATCACCACTGCATGCCCATTATAATGACTACAAGTAAAAAGGCTGACTTTATCTAATACTGGTAAGGATAGAGGTAAACTGAAATTCTCTGGAAAACACTTTCACAGTATCTTAAATTTAAATCTACACCTACCACGTGACCCAACCATCCCAACTCCAACCTATTTATTTAAGAGAAACGAAAGTGTATTTCCGCACAAAGACTGTACGCAAATGATCATGGTACCTTCCTTTGAAATAGACAGAAACTAGAAACAACCCAGATGCCATGTGAGTGGATAAACTGAGGGATCCATACAGTGGAAGAAAAGAATGGAACTTTTGGTATATGTCACAAAAGGATGAGTCTCAAAATAATAATGCTGAGTGAAAGAAGCCAGACAAAAAAGAATATACATACATATCAAGTTTTAGAAAATACAAACTAATCTCTGGTGACAGGAAACAAATCATTGCTTGCCTGGGATGGAGTAAAGGGTGGAGAATTATCAAGGAGTGCAAGGATATTTTGGGGGGTGATGAATATCTATGTATATAATTTTGGTTATGTTTGGTTTCACATGTATATACATAGATAAAATTCATTGTATAAATATGTTCAGTTTATTATATAAGAGTTATATTTTAAAATCAGGAAAACAGTTAAAATTCTCATTTCAGGTGAATATATTTGCAAGACCATGTCATTTCCAACATTTTATTTTCCAGTGTGTGTTATTGAAAGGAAGATACTGGAGGCAATAAAACAACTAAAACACTTTCAAGTAAAATACCTTTACTCAAACTTAGATTTTTGCTACTCTTTTAGCCTTTACTGTACAGTCAACTTTAGTCTTTGGGAAATAATATTTATGGCCTTTGTATATGCTTTATACTTTTACTGTTGCCCTGGCGTTTTCCCTTTCTGTGATCTAGGTATACTAGGTCTTTTCTGCACATTGCTTCACTTAACTAATCTCCTTAATTCCTTTTCTCTCTCCTTGGGACCATATATAGCCCAGTTAATTTTTTTTTTTTAAAGATTTTATTTATTTATTTATTTGACAGATCACAAGTAGGCAGAGAGGCAGGCAGAGAAAGAGAGGGGGAAGCAGACTCCCCGCTGAGCAGAGAGCCCGATGCAGGGCTTGATCCCAGGACCCTGGGATCATGACCCGAGCTGAAGGCAGAGGCTTTAACCCACTGAGCCACCCAGGCGCCCCCCAGTTAATGTTTTTTTTCATGTTTAGTGTGAACTCCTTTTCCTTTCTCTTGGCTCATCTGTTTCCATCTTCAATAAATAGTTTTCACTACTAATATTATTAATAGTGTATACTATTTATTTAAAAACCCATGCTGGGATCTTTAGGTGAATTACAACTCAAATGTTCATCGCAGAAAAAATAACAGTACTTTATTGTATATTTTGTTTTGTGGGCTGAAGTTACGCATCCTAAGATTGCACTGAAGAGAATAAAAAATATCTTTTCTATAAACAGCACTCTAAGGAGAAAAAGCTCATTAAGTACAGCAAACTTTGTGTGATTTTATACTTCAGGTCATATTGAAAAAAACATTAGCTTATCTTGGAACATTGTGTATTCATTTAGTAGTTTTTAAAGAGAAGGAGGCTTGTGTACAATGTGAACGTTTTCTCTGTGTTTAGCAAAAATACCACTATTTTGTATATCTGTGACTTTTTTAATATAGTTTTATAAGTTATTTATATTTTGTTGCAGAAAGGGATCTAGTAAAACCTAAATATGACCTGGATAGAACAGATCCACTAGAAAACAATTATACTCCTGTCTCTTCGGTACCAAATATTTCCTCTGGTCACTACCCTGTACCTACTTTGAGCAGCACTATTACAGTAATTGCTCCTACCCATCATGGTAATAACACTACCGAAAGTTGGTCTGAATTTCATGAGGACCAAGTGGACCATAACTCCTATGTAAGACCACCAATGCCAAAGAAACGGTGTAGAGACTATGATGGTAAGTCTTTGCTGTTTTCTGAAGTACTGAACTAGTATTTCCAGGTGACTAAATTCTGTAAGCTTAGGTTGCACAGTTATTCATGGACAGCCCAGTTAATGGTGGTAAGTTAGTCTTAGGAGGCACTTCTTGAATTCTTCAGTATTATTTAAACCTCTGTTAGTCACTACTGACTATTGTATATCAGTCTAAAGACAGTGCTTCTTTACACATAAATCTTAATATATTTTTGGAGTTTATCAAATAAGAGTAGTATCTACTGAGTTGTTATCTGGGAATCTGCTACTGAAACATTCTTGACAAAACTCACTTCTTTAGAAATAAACGGTTATTGGCATGTAAATTAGAACCTAGAAATGTGAATATCACCTATAAGAATTTTATAAATGAAGACTCTCAAAGTTTTACTGTAAAAACTTTGTAAATTGTACTAAAGTTATAGTTGCATTATTCTCAGAGTTTTAAGTGAAATTTAAATAAAGGAAATGAAAAATAAATAAAGGAATTTCTTCTAATGACAAAGTATATAAAAGTTTTATGCCCGCTTGCTAGCTAGGTATACACATTTTAATTTGTGGATATATTTTTTAATGTGTTTGTTAGCTATATTTACATCATAAGTATTTTATGTTACTGGAAATTAGCTCTTGTGTTATGGTTAGTTATACTGGCCCAATATTAAAAATATTCTTTTTAAAATATCTTACCTTTGTTAACTTACAGAAAATTTATTTATCTGACACTTTCCATATTTCTCATTATGCTTGCTTACAGAAAAGGGTTTCTGTATGAGAGGAGACATGTGCCCTTTTGACCATGGAAGTGACCCTGTAGTTGTAGAAGATGTGAATCTTCCTGGCATGCTGCCTTTCCCAGCACAGCCGCCAGTTGTTGAAGGACCACCTCCTCCTGGACTTCCCCCACCTCCACCAATTCTTACACCTCCACCTGTGAATCTGAGACCCCCAGTGCCTCCGCCAGGCCCATTACCACCCAGCCTACCACCTGTCACAGGTAAGTAAATATATTTGTTTGCCAGTACCCATTATCTGTCCATTCATAGCCTTTTTAGAAGTTAATAGTTTGATGCCTGCTTTTGTTAAAAATACCTGAAATAATCTTAAAGATGCCTGCTAGAAACCAAGGGCAAGATACTCTTATTTAGAATATACCCGCACTTTGCAGGTGTTGCCAAACCTATGGTTTACTGTGGTTTGGAGGGGCCCTGACTTAGCACATCCCTGACGAATCCCAGCTCTCAGTAGTTCTTTATAGCTTAAGACAAACCTGTTTTGGAATACAGTAAAAGGATATTTTACCCTAGAAAACTAATATAGTTATAAGAATTTGAGTTTATAGATACTGTAATTTTGCTGATAAATGAGAAGACCATGTTTGGATATACAATAACTTATTTTATTTGTTTGCTTTCAGATGATATTTCTTATTCTTTGGTTTTGACAGGACCACCACCTCCACTTCCTCCTTTGCAGCCATCTGGCATGGATGCTCCCCCAAACTCTGCAACCAGTTCTGTTCCTACCGTAGTAACAACTGGCATTCATCACCAGCCGCCTCCTGCTCCACCCTCTCTTTTTACTGCAGGTGCAGTTTTGCCCCTTTATATTCATCATGTAGTGAGGGTTTAGAGCAGAGTTTTAGATATGGAATTAAAAAATGTCTAGAGAGTGACTAGCTCTATTAGGTTTATTTTTCTTAGTAAAATCGTATAGAATAAAGTGTAGGCATGGGGGATGTATATTAAATAGAAGTCCCTTGGATTTTTAAAAGACTAAGTTTTATGTATGTGTATGTATATGTATATATAATATAATTACATGTATTATATATACAGATATATATAAAATTTCTTTTACTGTTATATTTTCCATTTAACTTTTTATTTTTATAAAACTAAATTTTCTTTTTAATACATGTAGCATGTCAGCTCTGTATTAGTAATGTTATATAATTTACTTTTTCTTTTATCAATATTCAAGAATTACCAAGTGGTGTTTTATAATTGTTTTTTAATTACAGTTTTTGTATTACCAGATACATATGACACAGATGGCTACAATCCTGAAGCCCCAAGCATAACAAATACTTCCAGACCTATGTATAGACACAGAGTGCACGCACAAAGGCCTAACTTGATAGGACTAACATCAGGGGATATGGATTTGCCACCCAGAGGTACTATGATTAATCTTTTCTTCTTATTTTCATATCAGGAGTGGCAAATATTTAGAAAGAATGTGGTCCTCCATTTATTGGGGTTGAATAAGGGATGGTGATTAAGTTTATTCCTCTGATCCTTTGGTCTTTCTTAAGAGAAAAGATAATGTGTAGTTTTCTATTTGTGTTACTGATGACACTTTATTCTATCACCGGAGGGGAAAGGAATTTCCTGAAAGTTCGTACTTTCTTTTTTTTTTTAAAGGAGAATAAATCTTTAAAGAAATTCTTTAAGACTGTATTTATTTGAGAGAGTGAGCGCGCGCGCGCGCGCGAGAGAGAGAGAGAGAGAGAGAGAGAAAGCACAAGCTGGGGGGAGGATGAGGCAGAGGCAGAGGGAGAAGCAGATTCCCCACTGTGCAGGGAGCCTGACTCAGAGCTCAGTCCCAGGGCCCAGTGATCATGACCTGAGCCGAAGGCAGATGCTTAACCGACTGAGCCAACCAGGTGTCCCCAAAATACATATTTTTTAAGGTAGTTTTTTGGAGGGTTATTTTTTTATCATTTGCAGTCTTTCTTTTAAAGATTTATTTTATTTATTTAAGGGGGGAGGGGCAGAGAGGGGGAGAGCGAATATTAAGCAGACTCCATGCCCAGCATGGAGCTTTATATGGGGCTTGATATCACAACCCTGAGATCACGACCTGAGCTTAAATCAAGAGAAATGGAGAGTCAGACATTTAACTGCGCCACTCAGGCACCTCTGTTATTTGTAGTCTTGCGCTCTTGAAAGTAATGATTTAGGGGTGCTGGGTAGCTCAGTCAGTTAAGCATCTGCTTTTGGCTGGGATGGTGATCTCAGGGGCCTTCGGATCAAGAAATGCTTTAGTTCCTGAAGATTTTTTTTGTAGATTGGATAATGAAATAAGTTTTACAAGCTTCTACAAACTTGTGCTTGATACATATTTTACATAGAAGAATTTGTTACTGGTTTGATCATAATATTTTAATCAAAAGGAATTATGTTTTAGGAAGTGACTTATCATCTTTTAAAATTTTTTTAGAGGGGACAGACTTTTTGATAAAATTTCTAAATGAGAAAAGAAGGTAAGAGTTTAGATGAGGAAGTCACAAGCAGGGGCAGCAAAACTGCTCTGCTAGAAGTACAAACTGATAGGTTTAGAGGAAGGGAGAAAGGTCACATTAATTTGAAAGAGGGAGCGTTGGCTACAGAAACAGGAAGTGAGGGGTTGTCATCCATAATGGAAAATGTATGTAGGCCAATAAAATATATTTTTTTCCCTAACTACTTCAACTAACTTTTAAATCCTATTTTCTTTGTAGTCTTATCTTTTTTTTCTAGTAACCAAAAAAAAAAAAAAAAAAAGATTCATGGTTGATGCCTCATCAATCATGAATAAAACTGCAACTTGTTGAATGGTAGTGCCTAATGTGGTTTAGTAAACTTGTGAATACTTACACTTTGCATTTTTTTTATTTGTTCATTGAAATGATCAAATTCTGCATCTAACTTGAGTGTTCAGGGGACTTTTTGTTACAGAGGTATAAGGAACATTATAATTTTTTGTTTTTAAGATTTATTTATTTATTTACTTGACAGATAGAGATCACAAGTAGGCAGAGAGGCAGGCAGAGAGAGAGAGGAGGAGGCAGGTTACCCGCTGAGCAGAGAGCCCGATGTGGGGCTAGAGCCCGATGTGGGGCTCGATCCCAGGACACTGGGACCATGACCTGAGCCGAAGGCAGAGGCTTTAACCCACTGAGCCACCCAGGTGCCCCGGGAACATTATAATTTATAACCAATTTAATTTATATCATCTTTGATTTTACAGGAAAGCATTTCACGTGGATGTCACTTTTCCCTCACACTTTTTAAATTCTTATTGAGGAATTCTAATAGCTATAATTAACAACAACAGAAGAAAAAAATTTTTTTTGAGTTTTATATAAGGGATAAGATTGTTTATAAATGAAAATTATAAGCCACTTAAGATTGTGGCTTTTCATCTCCCAAGTCTCTCCTGCCTAATTCAGAGAAAACCCCATTCTTCTTTGGTCATTGCTTAGCACCTTTCTTTTTATCATACCTATAGTCTTTGCTTTTACTGGAACCTCCTACATGAAGTCATCTCTTTCTTACCTTGCTGCTTAGGTGTGGCAAAAATATATGCTACTACAGATCAATATTAGTTTCATTCCAGTGCCAGGCAAACTTTTTTGATGGTGGTCAAGAAAAGAAAGAGGGATCATGTTCCTTATATAAATCTCTTACCATGTAGAAATTGCAGTTATGGTAATTTCAGCTCCACATGTGTAGTTACAAGTTGTGGGAAGTGGCCCCATTGAGAGAGCAATGTCTAGTATGTATGGTTAGAAATTTGAATGCCTTTTCCTATAGATTCATTGTATATAGTGATTATTTTTGTACTGTTCTTCATATATATCACATAGTATTTTTGTCATGTGGTTTAGGAATATATTCTCCACTAATAACATTGTTTTTATGTACCACAGAACTGATTTAGCACCCCCATTTTAATTGAGTAGTACCTATATTTTTGTTTCCTCATCTTTTTTCATTCTTCCTCCCCCCCCGCCCCGCAAAATGTTTTCATCTTTTGCGCATTTGGTTTGAAACTTATTTTCCTGGATGGTGACAGATACATAATTAAAAGTTTTGATATTATTTATTACATAATTAGTGTACATTTCTTACTATCTATAGATGATGGACTTAATTTAAATTTGTTATAGGCTATTATGCGATAATTATATTATTCCATACTTTAAACTTGATGGGGAATCATCATCATTAAACAAAAGAAAAAATTTAGGCTCATTGATACCTTAGAATTACTAAGAAAAATGCCTGAGAGGCTCTGAGAATTGTTCTTTCCAGATTTCTTTTTTTTTTTAATTTTTATTTTTATTTTATTTTTTTAATTTTTTTTTTAAATTTTATTTTTTATAAACATACAATATATTTTTTTCCCCAGGGGTACAGGTCTGTGAATCGCAAGGTTTACACACTTCACCGCACTCACCATAGCACATCCCTCCCCTCCAGATTTCTAAGAAGGTAGAGAATTTCATAGATGTTCCTTGACTGGATATAGGTGGGAGTAAGGGCTAAGTAGTTTTCCATTTGCTGTCAACAAAACCAGGGCTAAAAATTTTAAGCATAAAAACAATTTATTAAAAGGATAATGTGGGGGAAAACTCAGTATATATAACTAATAGACTCATTTGCTAATTGAATACCAAGAGGAACTTATTTCCATTTTTAATACTCCTTAAATAAGTTACAATGAAAGACAGTCTGAGTCAGAGAATATAAGATGAATTGGAACAAACACATCACAATGACTAGGGGAGAATATATCACTGCCTTTCTTAGTGAACCTTCAGATAAAGAACATATTAAAGTAAAAAAGGATATTTGATAACTCAAAAACATTAAGAAAGTCAGTGAATCGGGTTGGGAGGCAAGAGTAAGGCCACAAATCCTGTTGCAGAACTGGTCTTGCGAAGGTGCCACTGAGCAAAGACGCTGCCAGCTTGCACTGTGAATATCACCAGTGTTCAGATAGTGGATGTTTCCACCTGATCTGCTGTGGAAACATAGGACGATTTAGCCAGAGAAAGGGGGTAGGTAAAGCAATTACATTCCATAATACTTTTGAGAAACTGAAAACTTAATGACTGGAACAGAGGGAGTGAGATATGTGGAGGGAGGTATGAGACCGGTTAAGGGCATTTAAAGAATTCTAGAAAAAGAGATGACAGTATAATAGCTGGGGTAGGGTACTAACAGTGGAAAATGAGAGATTTCAATTTAGTGGAATTGATGACATTATTGGATTGCGGGACTTAGAATGGGTGAAATGGAGAGCATGAAATTGAAGACATCAGATTTCTGCTCTGGATAATTGGGCAGCTGATAATCTCATTGAGAGGAAGAACAGATTTGGTAGGAAAATAAATTTAGTTTTGGAAGTGTTTAATTTGTTGTGTCCTGGGACGTTTGAAGAGAAATGTCCAGTTGGAAGTAAGATCTGGACGTCAGGTCTCTTAAGAGAGAGATGGTTTAGAAAATACAGATTTTTAATCATGAGCATGTAAAACAGTGGTTCTTAATCTTTTCTTCTGTGCCATTAGTAATTATGGGAGGTATAGGAAGATGGAATGAAGCATATCCAAATCTGCAAGCCTGACTGATAAGGGTTCTGAAAACTCTTCTCATATGTTTCTGATATACTTTTCTTCCCTTTGAGAATCACTAAAAATGATGAATGAAGCCATGGTAATAGATGTCTTAAGGTGATTGTGTAGAGTGAGATTAGAAAGTGCAAGTAAGTAACTTTGGAGAACACCAGTATTTGAAGCTGTGGGCAGAGAAGGGGGAGCTTAAGTAGGGCACTGAGAAAATGAAGTCAGGAAGGCACAAACAAAAGGAGGGAGTGAGGAGTCCTGAAAAATCCAAAGAAGATAGGAAAAGAAGTGATCAACAGCATTTAATGATAAGAGGTCAAGTAAGAGAAGGACTGGGATATATTTATAAGCTTAAGCAACAAGTTAGGACATCAGCAAATTTAGGATGAGAAAGTTAAGTTCAGTAATGAGAGCTGCTGCCAGTTTTTGGAGGATTAGTGAATGGGTGGTAGGGAAGCAGGTTAGCAAGTGTAACATCTCTTAGGAAATAGCTGTGAATGTGGGGAGCAAAGGATGGTGGTACCTGGAGGGGAAGTAGTTTTACGAGATTTCATTTAAAAATGGGGTAATTTGAGCTTGCTAAATGTTGATGGGAAGTTCCAGTTTAGAGGAAGAGGTTGAAGATGAAAACAGCAGAGCTCTGGCACACTGATTTTACTGATCTTTATATGGGATGAATTACTGGAAGGAACTCCAGGAGCAGAAATTCAGTTAGTACATTAGACTTGGTGATAAGTAATGCAAGTTTGGACCAGGGTTGTTTCGGTGAGAAAGGAGAGGAAATATATGCAAGGTGAGTTGAAGGGATGTGGGCAGACTCAGAAATCAAATAGTAGTTTCATTAATGGAAATGCTTAAGAAAGATTTAAAAGTACATTTGATATGAAGATAATTTGTACTTTGTATGTACTCTGAGTTTTGAGAAACCTGTAGGATTTTGAGAACTAGATGGCCAGAGAAAACCAACAAGTTAGAAATTGAGAACTGACTTCTGGACAAGAGTTCATGTGTGGTGGAGAGATTGCTATGATCTCCTTCATGGAGATCAGAGTTGTAGCCATCCATGAGATGTTGTGCTGGAACACCTGAAGTTATTTTGGTTAGTTATGTGTTTAGAAATATTAAGAACAGGAGGTATGCAATCACTTTATACATCTTTAAAAAGAATTTTAAAATTATATTTTTCTATGTGGATTAAGGTTTGCATGTTTTAAGCTTTAGTGTTGTTTCAGAATAACAGGTTAAATGTACCTGTTTGTCACATTCCAACTAAGTAAATGTAAAGTTGGAAGTAGCAGATGTGTACAGCTCTTTTAATCTTGAATACCTTTTTATTTTTTTTTTAAGATTTTATTTATTTATTTGAGAAAGAGACAGTGAGAGAGACCATGAGCGAGGAGAAGGTCAGAGGGAGAAGCAGACTCCCCATGGAGCTGGGAGCCCGATGTGGGACTCGATCCCGGGACCCCGGGATCATGACCTGAGCCGAAGGCAGTCGTCCAACCAACTGAGCCACCCAGGCGTCCCTTGAATACCTTTTTAAATCAAGTGTGCTTTCAATCTTGAATACCTTTCTAAATCAAGTGTGCTTTGTGTTACTGTGTTGATATTTAAATAGGCAACTTCAATCACAACTGTATCAATTCTTTTTTTTTAAGTTATCAATTCTTGAAGGTCATTGGGTTAATGTTAAATTTTGAATAAATTTCAATTTGAATAAATGTTAAATTTAGGTCGTGCATTTGATTTCAAAACTATGAACTCAAAGCCTTAAATAAATCAGAAACTTAAATTTCTGATTTATTTGTACATTTATTTACGGGGAGGGTGATGGCCAATGAAAATAGTGACATTGATTTTACCTTTACCGTTCCCTTCCCCCCACCGCTACCTTCAAAAGAAGTGGCCTGTAGAGTCATATTGTAATTTGACATGTAAGAATTACTGAGTCTTCTTTAGTTAGATATGAAGTGAATTCAGAATAAGTTAAAATCCTTTAGATTATTATATTTGAATCTGCATTTATTTCTGTTTCTTCTAAAAATGTATATTTGGACAAGAAGCCAGAACTTTGTTTTCAGTATGCATGTAAGGAAGTATCTGTGATAAACAGAAAATATTAATCTGTGCTCTCTTTTCTTTTCAAATAGAAAAACCTCCTAATAAAAGCAGTATGAGAATAGTAGTGGATTCAGAATCAAGGAAAAGAACCATTGGTTCCGGGGAGCCTGGAGCTCCTACAAAGAAGACCTGGTTTGATAAGTAAGCTGGCAGGATTGAGAAATTTTAATGTATAGTGATTTTTAGGATACTGGAATATTATTTGGCAATATAGTATTCTCTTTCAAAATGAGCATTATATAATTCTTTTCTCTAAGCAGTCTCACACTATAGTGTACATTGATTTCTAAATATTTGTAAGTTAATAGGTACTTGGAGAGTATTTTCATACAGAAGTGTTGTGGTGGTCAAGGACACAATTTTTCCTCTTCCTTCCTTTCCCCACCTCCAGAAAAAAACACTGCTTAACTTAGAGATGTCAGTGAAAACTACCTATATAAAGGATAGTCGTGAGACTACTATTGTAGAAGGAAGTTGGGTCAGGTTTGGGAAGAGGCTTTAGCATGTAGGCAAGTCCTATTAAGAGCTGGAAAGTGATCTTTTGGGGAGCTGGGGAGGCTGGATAGTCATTAAAGTTGTCAGGGAAGGGCTTCAGAGAAAGAGGATCATTGAAAGAACCAGAATGTTGGGGTGCGTGTGAAGATTCTCTTATAACATTTGTAAGTTAAAGGAGAGAGGATCACACTTTCAGAGCTTTAACATAATTTAGTAATGGGTACTATCTAGTTCTGGCTCTGCCTGTAATTCTGTGATGTAAGGAAAGTGTGTAACCTCTCTGGGCCACAGTTTTGGCCTTTTTTCAAGTGCCAAATATATGGTTTACAGTTTTGACATTTTTTTTTTTTTAAGGTGGAAAGTGGTTCAGATGGTTATACCTTGTTTTTAATCAGTGTTTTAGAATAGGATACATTTCAGTAAGCTAGCTTTTGCAAAAGTGCAACAAAAATTGTATATGCAAATTTACTGAAAGAGCACTGGACCTTTCCTGCTTAAGTGGGCGTGGATTCAAAGTGGGACATAATAAATGGCATAAGAGAACTCTTCTCAGTTAGCTACTATGAAAGATATGTACGGTAGTAATTAGGAAATTTCAGTTTTTGGAAGAAAATTTCAATTTTCTTTATCAATCAGTAATTTCAGTTTTGAAAAAACAATAGAACTTAAATTGTAAAACCTTACTAATCTCTGCTTGATAGGGGGCAGGATTTATAAATAAATATATTAATCAACTTGATTTTTTGTTACAGGCCAAATTTTAATAGAACAAACAGCCCAGGCTTCCAGAAGAAGGTTCAGTTTGGAAATGAAAACACCAAACTTGAACTTAGAAAAGTTCCTCCAGAATTAAATAATATCAGCAAACTTAATGAACATTTTAGTCGATTTGGAACCTTGGTTAACTTACAGGTAAGAGCTATGCAGTAATTCTGTGGTCTTTGCTTAATTATTTAGGGAGGGATTTTAATGCAGTAAGAAAAATACTTTTATAAAGGAATATGGAAAATTTGGTGACATTCTAAATTTGGAAAATTGGAATGATACGAAACTATATTTTTAAAACAATGTGTGATTTTGAGTAAGTTTTTTGCTCTCAGGAGGCAAGGAGTTTTGATTGATCATATTATATACTTTCTACCTAATAGAAGTTATTACAAAATTATAGCAAACTTTAATCAGAGTAGAAAAATCTAATCTTTTAAAATTATTTTTTAGTTTTTAAAAAGACTTTATTTGACACAGAGAGAGTACAAGCAGGGAGAGGGAGAAGCAGGCTCCCACTGAGAGGAGACCCCACCGTGGGGCTCGGATCCCGGGATGCTGGCTGGGATCATGACCTGAGCCAAAGGCAGATGCTTAATCCACTGAGGCACCCAGGTGCCCAGGAATATCTAATCTTTAATAGTGTTCATTTCCTCAGTTTCTCTGAAGCATTACAACAGAATGCTTCAGTCAGGATGTTTCTGCTGCTCGTATATCGGGAAGCACTTAAACGATAACCTTTGGGGGGCCCAAATATCAGCTAATTAAGGAATACTTAATTAGTTCAAATATTTACTTTTCCTCTATCACTTTTGAACATCCTTAAGGATTAAGTATCGGTGTAATTTGTATATGATTTCACCTAAAATTAGACCTTGGCTTGGGTATTTGTAATTTGTGAGATTATTTAGTATTGAGTTAACATTATATATGTCAAAAATACTGTAATAATGTTGGGCTTTTTTTCCAGTATGTATGGTGTTCTTTTCAACTAAAATAATTACTTCCCATAACCTGATAAAAATAACTTTTAGAGAGTACAACTGAAGTCGATTATTTGGAAAAGTTTGCTTTTTTGACATTTAAAAGATAATACAGGGGCACCTGGGTGGCTCAGTGGGTTAAAGGCCTCCCTGCTCTGGAGAGCCTGCTTCCCCACCCCGCCGCCTCTGCCTGCCTCTCTGCCTACTTGTGATCTCTGTCTGTCAGATAAATAAATAAAATCTTTAAAAATAAATAAATAAAAAATAATATAAAAAGAACATGAAAAAATGCATGCTTGCTTGGTGTGGGGCAATAGAAGTTTTTTTTTTCCCCCCTAGAGATTTTATTTGACAGAGTGAGAGCACAAGTAGGCAGAGAGGCAGAGAGAGAGAGAGAGAGAGAGAGGAGGAAGCAGGCTCCCTGCCTAGCAGAGAGCCCGATGCGGGACTCAATCCCAGGACCCCGAGATCATGACCTGAGCTGAAGGCAGAGGCTTAACCCACTGAGCCACCTAGGCGCCCCGGGGCAATAGAAGTTTATATAGAATTTAAAGGAAATGTTTCCACCTTAACTCTTCGTGTACTTCTCATTCCTTTCCCCATATATCCCCATAATCCTATTATTGTTAAAAATATATATTATTCTAGGTTTTTTGTATTTATCTATTTATCAGTTAGCACACGCAAAAGATACATATATGTTAAAAAAATATGCAGGCCCATGGTATACATATTACTCCACAGTTATGTAATCTTGAATATCTCTGAGTATCTTTTTACAGCAATTCAATTTTATCTACCACATTTAGATGTAGACACAAAAAAGTTTTCAGAATATTCTTTTCCTCTTGCAATTTAAGTGCCCTGGTAAAATTAGGGAAATTTTCAAAACTGAGGAGCAAAACATGGTATCTCACTACTGTATCAGTTTGCATTTTTTATACAGTCCTTAGTTAACATTTCTTTGGGAGTGAAAGTAAACTGTGGTAAATAATCTAGGTGTAAGAAAGGGTAAAGATAGAATACTTCCTGGAAGGACCAGAATTTCATCTCTTGAGGAATTTTATTGGATGAAACAATGGATTCTTTTGGAATTCACTGGTCTTAATATTTTAAATCTTAGGTTGCTTATAATGGTGATCCTGAAGGTGCCCTTATCCAATTTGCAACATATGAAGAAGCAAAGAAAGCTATATCAAGTACAGAAGCAGTACTAAACAATCGCTTTATTAAGGTTTATTGGCACAGAGAAGGAAGTACCCAGCAGTTACAAACTACTTCTCCAAAGGTAAGAGAGAGATTTGTGTGAAATTCAATGCTTTTCTCAGAAAGCTCTTAGCATACAGTGTTTAAGAGCAGGAGTACTGCAGTCAGGTAGACTTAAATTCAGATTCCGGCTCTACCTCCGAAACGTGAAGACTGAAGGAACTTATTTAATGTCCCTAACCTGTTCTCTTTATTGTGAAGTTAGTCCCTAGTTTAGAGAATCATTGGATGATAAGATAAAAAGCATATAGAAAAGTCCCTAGTAGATAGGAGATAGTCAGTATGTGGTAGCTTATACATATTCCAGAAACTCATACTGTGTGTTCGTTTTGGAAATCCTTCCCTTCCTTTCTCCCTCCCACCTTCCCTCTTTTCTCTTTTTCAGTCACTGAATCAGTCACTAATGTTAGATCAGTTGCTTACAGGAGGATTTTATAGCAGTTTGTTTCTCGATTGAATTTTCTCCTGTTCATTATTTCCTTTATTAATAAGTTAATTTATGCAAAGAAAAACATCTATGTATGTGTGTGAAGGAATTTGGAAGACAGGTTTTGATTATAAGCTGCGCTTTTAAAACTGTCTGCATGGGCGATGTAATAACAAATAACAGAGGTTACTTGACCTGTTCATGAGCTGATCCTCTTGTTTAACATTTTTTTCTTGTTCTGAGGTAATGCAGCCCTTAGTCCAGCAGCCCATTTTGCCTGTTGTGAAGCAGTCAGTCAAAGAGCGATTGGGTCCGGTACCTTCAAATACTATTGAACCAGCAGAAGCACAGAGTGCCAGTTCAGACCTTCCTCAGGTAAATGAAAAGTCTTATTGTGTGTGTCTCATAACAGGTTCTCAGCAAATTAGTGTCCCTTGTGATTCGAATTATAGTTAATTGTGTATATCTTATACAGAAATACAGTCTGTACGTATATGAACTCCGCCTGTAAATTTTCTTTTTACCATTAGCATAAGATTTTCACATTCTGTTTTTCCTATAGTATTTGAATTTTAAATTCTTTTCTCTAGTTAATACTTGAGTTCCCTTTCACTTTGTGAAGGAATTAATTTTAAGCAAAACTGCCTGAAAAATGAAGTTCAGTATATTAAATCTTATTTTTCCCATCATCTTTTACTTGACTAGATTTCTATTCCAGAGAAGATGATACAGTAGACTGCACCAAAAGCTTTTGCGAAGGGAAGGCTTAAGCCATCAGGTTTTAGCATGCTTGATGATACTGTTTCAAGTTACTTACATAGTTCTCAGAACTTTGCATCACTCATTCCTGAGTTTCAGATTCTCTTCTCCACATGTCATTCCCTTCCCACTCCCTTCCACACTTGAGTGGCAGTTTCTTGTTTCTGCACCCTCCGTCTTTGAAACTTAGCTTTCTTTTTCTCTAGATATTTTAGCATTTGTTGTTCAATGTAAGCATTAGGATGTAGTTAGGATGCTATTTTATTAAAATAGTCTTCTGGGTAATTCCTGAAGAGTCAGATAATGAGATTGTATGGAAACATGCAGAATGGAAATTGATAAATTTTCAATTACTAAAAAAACCTCCCAGTGATAATAATTCCCCATCCTGTTATCTCAAATCATCACCAGATACAGTGTATTTGGCTATAGAAACATACTTTAGGAAAGAATGGCTTTTATTTTTAAGCTCAAGAAGCAGGCAGATATTTTAGTTACTCTAATATTTACAGTGTTCACACTTTCTGCACACTTGTCAACATAGGATTCTAAGAATTTATGATTCTGTATCAGTGGAGGGACTTTAATAAATACTTAGTTGAAACCTTACTTTACATCATGATTTTTTTATGAGTGCATAATACTGCGTACTATTTGTTTTTCTACACACATTTTCTTTCTGTCTCTGTCTTTGAAAAAGGCCCAAGTTTGTGTGATTAACATCAGTATACTTAACGAGTTAGTATATATTAGTAGAATCAGAATGTTCAAAATCCCAACAGACCTGTGTGTTTGGGGAAACACTGAATATGTCCATTTTAATTTTTTTAGAATGTAACTAAGTTATCTGTGAAGGACAGGTTGGGTTTTGTATCAAAGCCATCTGTTTCAGCAACTGAAAAGGTAAGAAGAACAATAGCATGATCTGTTTGTCTTGGCTTCATAAATGTTTTCAGGTGGCATCTTAATTTTTTAATTTTTTTCATAGTTCTAAACTCTTGCTTCTTAATAGTATCTGTATCTCTTATTCCTACCTTTTTGCTTTCCATCTGCTGAAAAAGAAAAAAATTTGCCTACCTTTTTTTTTTTTTTACTTTTTGCATCAGCATTTTAATATTTGCCTCTCACTATGTGTCCATGTGCTTCCTTCTTTTCATTTTCTCATTTTATTACTATATTTTCTTTAGCGACATTGTGCATTTTAATTTGAAAACTCTGGCAGCCTAATGGAAAAGGCCACAAATTAGGAATTTTACCTGAGTTTGAGTTCTGGCTCTTCACTTACTAACCGCATGATACTGGGCAGTGCTCTTAACCTTTCCAATTCCTTTTCCTTGTTGGAGAAATGATTGTAAATTTGTGTTGCTCACAGAGTTTTGTGAGGATTAAATAAAATGATTCATTTAAAAGTATTTTTTAAATTGGAAAGGATGATGTAAATGTAAATTTGTTATTTATTACTAACAGCTATTGTTCATAGCCTGACAATTGTCATTTGTCATTTCTTTTTTTAAACAGTGGGGTAATTACTGATTAAATGGACCTATCTCATAGTTTTGTGTAGGTGTGTTATTTATTTTTTCCATTTAGGTATGAGTGAATGCTTTGGTCTTTAGTCTTATTTGATATATGGAATCACAGAATAGGATTAGATCATTTTTCTCATTTCTGTGTCCTCACCTTAGAAGGAAAGTAAGGCCCAGTGGATAAACTAGGAATTACTGAGTCAGGACTGGAATGTGGGCTCCTCTATTTTATATCTATGGCTCTTTCCATTATTAAGATTATGTAGAAAGTTGAGTCTATATGTTACATAGAGCATCCCGTGAAAGGGCTGACCTCTCTTTGCTGGTTCTTCAGTATATTCTCTTCCTTATTTGCCATGTTAAACTAAGGCAATTCTAGAAATTTGAATTTGAATCTCATTCCGTATTTCAGATTTTCGTCTTGGGCACCTCAACATTACTTCAGGCATAATATGCTTAAAAAATGATGATTTCCCACCTAAATTAACCTCTCCTCCTCACTCCAACTCTGGAAGTTATACCACCCTTTTCCAAGTTGTGCAGTCTAAAAACCTGAGAGTCATTCACTTGTGTTTGTCATCCACTTCTTTTTCTCCACCACCTTCAGTTTCTTGGCCTCTGGATGTGGTGTCCTAGCCATATGCTCCTGTAGTTTATACTACCACCACTGTACTCCCAGACTTATTTTAATGTTAACTTCTTACAGAAGTTAAGAACTTCATTTCCCCAGCTACATAACTGCTTGATTCATAGCATATCATATCTCAGTTATTTGGGGCTTATGTCTCTGTGTTAGATCTTCTTTTTACCTTAGCAAGCCTTTTTCTGCTCATTATTTCTCACTCTTTCCTGCCTTTTTTCTTTTTCTTTTTTTTGGTGGTGATTGGTGATTTTCCTGGAGTGCATTTTCCTCTAAGTGAATTCTAGTCATTCTTTTAAAGATTTGAAAAAATCTCTTTACCCTATTCTATAAAATCTTTAATTTTTCCCCCATATGATGCCTCCCTCTTTTCCCCCCTGTATTTGTCTATATTTTAGTCCATGCTACTGACTTTAGCAGTATCTAAATATTTGCTTTGATTAGGTTTATCCACCTTGATAGTAAGTAACTAAGGAATAAAGAAAATAAGTCTGTCACACTTTGCTTAGTAATGACCAATTCTGGAGAGTTCTGAAAACTTTATACTTAGCATCTGTTTACGTCAAGATTTAGACCCTGAAATTTATAGCTTTTACAGAACTTTTCTGGTATGTTTGCTTCTTTTTTTTTTTTTTTTAATGTGTTTTATATAGCTTTAGGATAAAAGAGATACAGATTTGGAATTGATAGTGTACATTTAGTAATAGAGTTACCATTAACTGAAAAATCACTAATGGTAGTATTTTTATGAAGCAATACTGTAAATACTCTAAAGAATCTTTTAAGGAAAGCAGTTATTTAGAAGTGTGTAACTTTCAGTCATCTTCAGTGAACTTCTTTATAGAATAGCGTTTTGTTTTTGCTTATTTTTGGTTGTTCCCGTTCCCCAAGTCTGTAGGGGTTTTTGATGAAGAATCCTTAGAGCTTAGTGATTCAGAGAAGTCTTAGGAAGGATAGAAGAATGTTTCCCATCATCAAATTGAAGGCTGGGAAATACTCAAAACTAGTACCTATACAGTGTCTTCTGTCGTTATGAAAGCAAGTAAGTATACAAATATAAAAAATTTCCGCTTCCTCTGAACAACACTGAGTAAACCCTTCAGTGATTCTTTATTCTAAAAGTCCATTTTTATGTTGAGAGAGAAAACTTAAAACCTAATTTATACACTGAAATCTTAAGACATTGCAATAGCTGTTAAATAGTATGATTTGGAAAGAGTGATCAGTGAAATGACGTTTGAGTACTTCTCAAGATAGAGTGATTTATTAAGAATAAAGGTGGCATCTGTCTGTACTGCCTTGATTAGTCTACAGAAAGACTTAAGACTGTCCAAATTATCTCCCTAAGACCCTTTTAACTAAGAAAGTAAAATGATTAATTACATGAATATTTAAGGTTTGTGTATCATTATCAGTTTCAGGTGTAGGATGTTATTGTTCTTAGCAGCTTAGCAATAGTTTCTTTCTCTCCCCCACCCCCGACCTTTTTTAAATCTAAAAATATGTATCTTTGTCTCTTTGCAATATGATATGTTAACATATGCACCATGGGACTTTTAAAAGGGAAATTATGTGGTATACTGAAGGAACATTGCGAATCATTTGGAGACTTCAGCTGTTAACAGCTGACATTAGGTATGATCCTGAACAAAGCTTACTCTCTCAGTTTCCTTAACTAAAAAATGCAGCCATCTAAGTAACCCTCTGATGTTTTAATTTTCATTTGTTTTGTAATTTTGCTACTTTAAATATAACAGTTAAGGAATTTATGAGTTTCTTTTCATAACTGTTATTGAATACTTTTGATTTTTTTTAAGATTTTATTTATTTATTTGACAGAAAGAGAGATAGTAAGAGAGGGAACACAAGCAGGGGGAGTGGGAGAGGGAGAAGCAGGCTTCCTGCTGAGCAGGGAGCCTGATGCAGGGCTCGATCCCATAACTCTGGGATCATGACCTGAGCCGAAGGCAGATGCTCGATGGCTGAGCCACCCAGGTTCCCCTGATTTTTTTTTTAAATGCATTGATCTCTCTCAGGATTATTACCTGGATTATTTAGTCAGAATTATTACCAAGATTGTTTTGTTTTTTTTTTTTTAAAGATTTTATTTATTTATTTGACAGAGATCACAAGTAGAGAGGCAGGCAGAGAGAGAGAGATGAGGAAAGCAGGCTCCCCGCTGAGCAGGGAGCTCAATGCAGAACTCGATCCCAGGACCCTGAGATCATGACCTGAGCCGAAGGCAGCGGCTTAACCCACTGAGCCACCCAGGCGCCCCTGTTTTTCTTTTTATTTACAAGAATTAATAGTAGTTACGTCTGATAATAATTTACATAGGAATAAGATAAAGAGGTGTTAATGGATTATAACATGTCTTGTTAAGAAATTGACTTTTGTCTTGGAAAGTGAGAGGTAGTGGTATGTACATTTTAATAACAAAGCATATATGATACTTTTCAGCTCACTTTTTGAATTCAACAAACCTTTGACACCAAACCTAATAAGTATGTTAAGATAAGAGATAATTATAAGCAATAGCTCATGAATGTCTACCTAAAAATCCTAAGCTAAGTATTAGCAAGTTCTCAGTGATAAGAAGAAAGAAAATACGTACTGGCCAGGTAGAATTTATTCCAGAAATGCAAGATTGAGTTAACATTTGAAAATCCACTTAATTTACCACATTAATAAAATAAGGGGGAGAAAAGTGGGAAGAACCTCCTATGATTATTTCAGTAGAAAAAGCATATGATGAAATTTATTAGTCACAAAAAAAACAGCACACAAAATAAGAATAGAAACTTCCTTAATTTGATAAAGTTTTTCTTCATAAAACATCTAGAGCTAAAATACTGAATAGTGGAATATTGAATGATTTTCTTCTTGAGATCAGGAACAAGATCTCTTCTTGAAATCATCACTTTTTTAAGTGTAGGGCCTAACCAGTATAGTAAGGCAAGAAAATGAAATAAATGGTGAAAAGATGGCAAAAGAAGAAACAAAACTATATTTACTCGCAGATGACATCATATATGTGAAAAATCCAAAGGAATTCACCAACCTTTGGAATTAATAGGTGAATTCAGTAAGGTCAATATATAAAAAAATACAGCGCAGGCAGAAACCCATTTGGAAAATAGAGAAGGTGTGATTGTTTGAAAAGCCACCACCTGTGCTCTGACTGTTCTCAGGAGTTGTAGCACCTTCTATTCTTTTGGATTTGTCATGTCCTTCCACTGGTTTCATTCTTAACAGATTTTCTTCTCTTTTATCACAACTCCATCTTTGTCTGTTGAAAATACAGATATCCCTTGCTATTCATACTCTTACTGTCTAAACTCTAGAACCAAATAGATTCAAATAGTGAGCAGTTTTTGTGATCATATAGTTCATTGTTTATAAGACATTTTATTTTCACCTTTGAGCACCTCTGAATTAGGCTACATCTTATTTGTGTTTGAGGCTATAATTGGCAACATTTTTGTCTTTAGTAGGGGTACATTGTGATAATGTGTTTCATAGTGACGTCCTGAACTCAGTGAAATATGCCAGCTAATGTTCTGTGTAGAGAGAATAGAAGGCAGTTCCTGGATAAAACAAGGAGGTGGGATGCTTTTAGGAGTAAAGGAGTCTTCTCATTCTTGTCATACAGTTTTATTCACTTCGAATCAGTATTCTTTAGTCTGATATCAGATGTTAACAAATACACTTTGAAAAGGAGTGTTCCCTTCTCACTGAAATTGGAGAAATGCCAAATTAAACAAGTTACATGGGTTTCTTTACTTCAGGCCTTCTTACAGCTTTTATGGTAAAATGCATCTTAAAACTAGAAGGTAGGTTTGTATTATTTCCAACTTATTTGAGTATAAAAATCTTTGGTCACAACTTTTCAACTCTTTATGGCGTGCTCATGAAGGAAACAGTTTATGAGACACTTAGACTGTCTTTAGCACATTATCTTGTGTTTCTCTATAAAGTTATTCTGTCATCCTTGTATGATCGTGCAGTTTAGCATCACGTGGTATGGTAAGGTAGCTTAGAAGAAATTTTTTTTCTGATATTACAGAGAATGGTGACTGAAGTTAGACTGCAAAGTAAATCTGTATTTACTCCATATATTACCGAAGGCAACCGTTTCATTATTTTTAGTGATATCTGAGTATTATTTTTCGTTATTGAAGAAAATTATCAGTCAGATTTGATACACCTCAAGTATTATAAAGAACCTTTATTTTTAAACATCAGTTTTATTGTGTAGAACCAGTATAATTAATAGTATTCTAGGTTTTTATGTTACTTGGAGGCTAAAACATTCTTGAATACTTAGACTAGTGATGAGTTGTCTAATCTTTGTGATGTTTACTAATCTAACTTCATGAAAGCACATTAGAAAATAGTGTCTGGTACTTCTCTGATAGAACCAGATGTTTATATTTTAGTAGCTAAAAGGTCGGGCTTTTTCTCACTGATAATCTTCTGTTTGTGTAGTTCTTTTAACCTATTTTAAGAAGGGAACTCCCTTAACACTTTGGAAACTGTGTTTTTTTTTTCCCTCTGGAAAGTTACATTGTTCACACATATGGTTCCATGTTTAGTTTTTATAACATTCATAGATTACTCTTAAGGGATCTCTAGACTCCTTTCTTAAAAACTGGTAACTGGCCACACCCTGGAACCTACAGCTTCCTGCTTTTGAAGAATGAAAAAGGTGGCCTATACACTTTTATTTTCATGAATGACCCTTGTCTAGATTGTACACTTCAGTCTATCATCATTTCAGTTTAATTTAGTGCAAAACTATTCATTGAGTGTTTACTACATGCCCTTGCACTATTCTAGGCACTGAAGATAGAGTGGTGAATGAAGCAAAAAAAAGCTGTTCCCTCATGGAATGAATTTTTGAGTTTGTAAGGACATTAGATGCCATCAACTTAAACATTCTCATTTTATAGATGAACAAACAGGCCCAAAGAAGGTGCTTGAAGTTACCCAGAGTCTCATAATCAGTTGGTAACAAGGTTTAGGTACTAGAAGTGCAAAGAGGAGAAAGACGTGGTTTTGGTGGTTTTACTGAATAGACGGACACATAAATTAATACATCATTAGGTCATTTTAGTTAGGTGTTTGAATAGCCGTAGGAATAAAATTTCATGGAAGGATCTGGGTAGAAGAAATAAATAATTAGGGGTTTGCGGAGGTCTTGACCATTTGGTGCTGAACTTGAGCTAGGTTTAAGGGAATAGGGTCACTTAAAACAGAGGGATCAATGCATCAAAAGGAAAGGAGAAAGAAAGCAGTTTCTTAAGTTCTTAACAAAGGTTAATTTCAGAACTATAAATCGTGAATGATCATGTTAAATTGAGGGACAGTATCCAGTTTCCTCCTGTGTCATGCTCTTGTGTACAGTGTTTGCTCTAGTCACTAGGAATATTAAGTAAATGTTTTTAGCAACTAATATTTTCACAGTGATACAGTAATTGCAGTGTTTTTTTCTTGATTTCCAGTTTTTGTGTGTTCTTTTTTTTTCTATAGGTATATGCTGTTTAGTTTTTTTATTTTATAGTTTATGCCTCAGTCATACCCTTTCAAATCACTAAATGTGGTTTAGTTGATAATGTTACAATTATTTAAATAATACATTTATTTCAGTGTACTAATTTTTGACAAAAGTGTTTTAAAATTGGGTTTTGTAGAAAAGACAGGTATCATGAATGCTTAATACATTTTTTAATAAATTGAATTTGTATTGGTAGGTGTTGTCTACATCTACTGGCCTAACTAAAACAGTATATAATCCAGCTGCTTTGAAGGCTGCGCAGAAAACCTTACTCGTTTCCACCTCTGCAGTTGATAATAATGAAGCACAGAAAAAAAAACAGGTAAATACAGATAATAGTGTCCAAAATGTGCTTGTAGGAAAGCTTTTCTGCATATATGTGTTTTTTTCAAGACTTATCACAAGACAGAACTAAAAGAAAAGTGTATGTTGGCTGCCACTGAACTTCTCTGTTTTTCATAGTGTAATAATAGGTATTATTTTGGGTTGAAGGATTCTCTTGAAACTTACATACGTATTTAACTTGTAAACTTTACATTTAATTGTTGCCAAACTGCTGCATTTACAACCATTTATTTCCTCTGGAATATCTATGTATCAGAAAAATACACAGTAAATATTCTAGTGATATTCTTGGTCTCTTTCACTAGGAGGCACTGAAACTTCAGCAAGATGTAAGGAAAAGGAAACAAGAAATTTTAGAAAAGCACATTGAAACACAGAAGGTAAAAATATTAGATTTGGCAAAATATATTTATGTTCTTTTAATTTTAAGTAAATTTAATTTGACACTATATAGCTAATGCTAAGAAATATATTTTACATAATTGGAAAGGGTAAAACTGAAATATTTGTGATAAGGTATATATATCAGTTGATTAATGTATTGAGGATGAAGAGCATTAAATGGTGAACTGGGGTTTGGAGTGATTTCAAGGAACTCGGGTGGTCACCTTGAAGTGAAAATGAGTGTTTATCAAGATATGTTGCTGCATAGTAGTTTGTCAACTGATAGTGAATTGGAACCTTTTTCTCAGGTTTTTTTTCTGTTGAAATATGTATCTTTCTTTAATTGGCTTGGAGTCCTCTAGTTTTGTGTCGTCCACTGTGGTAGGTAGTAGCTTCGTCCAACTTTTGAGTACTTGAGAAAGGTCTTGTCTAAATCGTTATGTGCTGTGGATATAAAATGCATACTAGATTTCAAAGATGTCATATGAAGGAAAAAAGTAAAACATCTCAGTAATTTTTTTTGAAATACAGCATTTTGGATATATTGAGTTAAACACAGTATTAACTTTACTGGTTTGGGTTTTTTAAAGTCTTTTTAATGGGGCTGCTAGAAAAATGTAAAATTGCATGGTTTGCGATATTTTGTGCAGGGTTGCTCTGTGACATTTAATTAGTGTCAGTTCTTGATTATGTCTAGTAATAAAAGTTAGGGCATTTCAAAATAGTGAAAATGCAGAAACTTCTTAAATTTCCACTTATAATTTCTAATTTAAATTTGGATATACTTGGTAAAGAGAAATTACAGTACTTTACAAGCTGAAACCAGCTTGACTGAGAAAACCTGTAATATGTGGTATCTTCTACCCCATATTGCCTTGTTTATCTTTTGATTCCTGTCCATGTTGTGGATATCAGTCTTACGTTAGCCAGTTATTGTTCCTTGTGACAAAGAAAGTAAGTAATGTTTTAAGATTTCATTATGTGAAGGGAGCCATAAAACTTCTTCTGGTTCTTTCTGGGTTACAGACTACATTTGGAGTGGGAATACTTAGGGCCAGTAATATCCATAAGGATTGGAAAGTAAAATTACTGATACTACTTTAAATTGACCACTTTTTAGTGGTCAGATTGAATTTCGTATGTTTGTGCTTTGAACTTATATTCTGAGAGACCAGTGATAACGTGTAATTCTTTACAAAGTGTGCCAAGATTAAGACTTGAGATAGCACCACCAAAATCTGTTATTCTGCTTAGAAGTTGTAAGCCTTGCCATAAATATATAAACTAAAACTAGTAGTTATTTATATTTATTTTGCTGTGTTTGCTTTGTTAATAGTATGAGGAATATGTATCTTAATTTTTTCTTTTTTAAAAATTTGGCAGATGTTAATTTCAAAACTGGAGAAAAACAAATCAATGAAGTCTGAAGATAAAGCAGAAATAATGAAAACTTTAGAGGTTTTGACAAAAAATATTACCAAATTGAAAGATGAAGTCAAAGCTGTTTCTCCTGGACGTTGTCTTCCAAAAAGTATAAAAACCAAGACTCAGGTATTTTACTTTGTGTTGTTCTTCATTATACTACTTACTAAAAAACATTTAAATGTTACACTGCTTTAAGATTATTTTCCTTTTAGGTAATATCTTTTGCTTAAAATCTGACTATTCTTTGCTAACATTTTTTCCCTCCTTCATTAATTAATAGTAAATATGTATAGATAAGCAAACTCTATTAATCTTTTAAATCCTGTTTCTATTAATTTTTAAAATTCTTTAGATTACAGTTGTAAAGTCAGTAATTAGGAGAATAGTTACGGATAATCTTTAAAAGATAACTTGAGGACAAAGTGATACAAGTTTGAGGGAAGAATTTGAACTTTATTTTATTTTATAAGGAGTTCATAGTACAAAAGGTTAATAAACAGAGGTAACATTCCAGATGCACCTGGGTATCGCAGTTGGTTAAGCATCTGCCTTTGGCTCAGGTCATGATCTCTGGGTCCTGGAATCAAGTTCCATGTCCAGCTCCCTATTCAGTGGGGAGTCTGCTTCTCTTTCTCTCTCTACTCCTCTGCTTGTTCGTTCTCTCTCTTTCTCTGAAATTAGTAAATAAAATCTTAAAAAAAAAAAAACATTCCAGCAGCCTTATATTGAATTGATTAAAAGGGGGGAAATTCAAGTACATCAATCTGTTGGATGTGAATAAGTGAGGAAGATAATTTCATGTGATAGTAAGTGATTTTTAAAAATCTCCAGTTATACAGTATTTATACTTGGTGTTGTGTGTATGAACGTATATGTGTAAAATCATGAATTCATATTGATATTTCTGATTGTCTCCAGTACCACAGGATGCTTCTTTTCCTCCTCTTATTCCATATTTTATTTCCTGTTGCCATAATGACAGCTTGCTTCCCACTAACATCAGTACAGTATTCATTTTCACAGTCATTTAATACATTCCACATAGTTCCTGAATTGCTGTAACAATAGCACTTCCGACCATTAAGTAAAAGATTCAAAATGTATTTGCATTTTTTACAAGCTCACAATATATTCAACTAAGTATAGGGTTAGAACTGTGGCCTATGATTACTTTTTTTCCCCTTTTGTGTGATTATGCCATCAATTTAATGAAGTTAAATGTATGTCTATTTGTAGTCAATTTTGGATCCCCCTCCATTTCATTCTTGCTGACTTTATTTTTTGAATAAAACATAAACATGATTTGAAAGTTAAATTATATTAAAAAAGTATATATAGAATACCTTTTCCCTTTGATCCCTGCCACTCTATCCCCATTCTTCTCTCCCTCTTGGTATGTGTGTATGTATTCTTTCCTACGTAAAAGCATACTATATATTGCTCATTAACATCTTGTTTTTGTTTTTGTTTTTGTTTTTTTCTTTTCACAGTTATTTCCTGAAAATTACTTCATATCAGCCCATAGAAATCTCACTCTGGCTTCTGTATGGAAAATGAACTATAGGGAAATGAATGGAAGTAGGAACAAGTTAGGAAGCTATTGTAGTAGTGTAGACCAGAAGTGATTGATGGCTTGGACTAGGGTGGTAGGACTGGAGATACAGAAGGAATGTATGGATTAAATGAGAATGTATAAAAGCTCTTTGAAAAAAAAAAAAAGTTTTTTTGTAAATGCAGGATATTTTTGTCACTTAAATTATTAATTACCATTTTCTAGATGCAGAAAGAATTGCTTGATACAGAACTGGATTTATATAAGAAGATGCAAGCTGGAGAAGAAGTCACTGAACTTAGGAGAAAGTATACAGAATTACAGCTGGAAGTATGTTTCACCACAACTACATAGTATGCCAAAGAGGAGCAGATGTAGTCATGGTGGCCAATTTGAAAATATGTCCCCCTCATTCTAGTCTATAATTGTTGGTAGTCTGTGACATATATACTGGGATTTGATATAGGAAAGAGAGAAGAAGTTAGCAAATTTTTCAGAACTGGTAGAGAAAATCTTTATTTAATGAGGGGTGGCAGCAGTTCTACCTCTATACCTAAGTCCTTCCACTTCTAGTGAGTTAGGTTCTTTTCCTAATTTTAGTCTCTCCTTCTCCCTGGGACCAAGATCTATTAAAGCCTTTTCAGTTATTACAAAGATAGATATTCTGTGTATATACAGACATATTATCTTGAGTTGCTGTAAGGATTAGACTTTAGTGGAGAACTGTATTAAAAGCATGCTTGCTTAAGTTTTGCCTATAGATGGTGCTGTGGATGTTTATAAAAGAAAATAAACTTCTTATTTAGCTATATGATTGTATAAGAAAAATTTAGTGAAATTGATCATTATAATGAGCATTTGTAACATTTAGCAAAAAAGTGTTTAAAAATCAGAATTACATTTTGAAGTACAGAGACGTTAATGTCATTAATGCAGTTGGTACTTGGGTACATTTATGATTGATGCCACAATTAAAATTTTTTATATTTTACATTATTTTGCCTTCATCTGAGAATTATGCTTTTTTTGCCCAAATTTGTTAGCGCCTTGATGATTTTTTTTCTAATAGGACATATTCTGAATTTAGTACTGGCATCTGGTATTAAAGACTTAACATTTAGTAGCCAAACCACTGTGCTGTCTTAAGGCTCCATCTTGCCTGTCATAGAAACATAGGATGGTCTGTCAACCTGCATACATTTTGCATTCTCTGGAAACTTGATAGGGTTGCCTTTGTGTTCTGGCCAAGGTAACAGGTTTTGAAAAAGATAGATTTCTTTCAGTTAATATAGAAATTGTTTTTTCTTTATTATGGAGATTACTTGCCTATGTTGGTGGCACTTTATTTTATTTTATTTTTAATTTTTATTTATTTTTTTAAATTTCATTGTTCCAGAATTCATTGTTTGTTGGTGATACTTTAAAAAACAGGTTATTTTTTAAATTTTGGCTCAGAAATTTTAGTAAATAAATAGTGGTTCTACCAGTAATCTTTATTAGTCCATGCTTTGTTTCTTTATCATAATAAAACTAAATGCTGAATGGCATTTTCTGGTTTACTTATATGATGGCTAGACTTCAGTTTGTAGTTACCATTGGAATATGCAGTAATGTATTATTTCCCAGAGTGTATCACTGACCATACCAATTCCATTTTTTGTTAACATATTAGTGCAAAAAGCTTTTGAGGCCAAATAAACTTGGAAATGTTTATATTAAACATGCTTGTTGCTATAGGGTTTCTTTAGAGGCTTTTGGTTCGTGAATCCCTAAATATACGTATTCAGTATTGCTCAGATTTGTTCATAAATCCTCTTTTTCAGGGAACATTTTGAGATAGTGTTGCTCAGAGCATAAGTCTGTATATGCTGCTCCATTATGAACATTAATCCTTGACCTGTGAAGTTTATTATTTGGGTTTTAGATTATTATTTTAGCAAATGTTAAGATGAACTGTCTTGAGATGAACAAACAAATATTTATACTTAAAGAGATTTGCCAGTGGTGCCTACTTGACATTTCTACTTGGATACTTCACATCCTCAGACTCAACCTGTTCAAAATTGAATTTGTCTTGCCCCTAAATTCCATTTACACAGTTACCCAAACCAGAAATCTGGGAATCTTCATTGATTTCCTCCCTTTCCTTCATTGTCCATATCAATTAATTACCAAGTTTTATACATATTACCTCCAAATGTATCTTAAAATATATTTACCTCTCTGTGATGCCACCACTGTAGACGAAGCTTCAGTCTTGTTGTTGGAGCTATTTTAGTAGCCTACTGACTGGTTTCCCAGCTTGTTCTTACTTTTTTCTACTCTGTTCTTAAAACTAGCCAGAATAACATGTTAAATACCGATTTGATGGTATCACTCTGCTTTTGTGTTTAAAATGTTTTAACTGATTTTCTTAGCTCTTGGGATAAAATTAAAAATCCTTAATTGTTGTCCTTAAAATTTTCGTGATCTGGTTCTGCCTATCTCTCTAGCTTCATTTTTTCATCCCATGTAGTCCAGTTGCACTGCATTTCCTGTATTCTTGGACGTACCATGTTTCTTTCAAATTTGATTGCTTTGTTCATGCTGTAGCCCCCACTCCACACCCTTATGTTTTTTGTTCTTTGTGTCTTCTTTGATTCACTGAACACATATTAAATATCTACTCTTTCAGCTGCTATTGTAAGTGCTAGGGATCAAGTAGAAAATAAAACAAGTAAATATCCTCACGGAGCTTTCATTCTAGTATCTTACTCATTGCCAGTCTTTAATGTTCTGTTCAAGTCTTTAAAGCATTTCCTTACTCTTTGCTTTACTTCTCATTAGTACTGTTAAGTAACTTGGTTGCTAAAGGTCTCTTACCCCTCTAGGATTTGAGTTTCAGAAAGGAAAGGACTTTCATATAAGAAGTACTTGTTAAATATTTGTGCAGTGAAGGAATAGTATACTATTCATATAGAAAAATGTGGTGGAATATAAGTTATTGTGCTACATTGGTTGTAAAGTGTTGTTAGTATAAGTGACTAAAATGATGAATTTGAGATAATTATACCTACTAAAGTCAACAGGCAAACAAATACACTACTTAGAAGTTTTAAGTGGAAAAATAAATTTATGTGCTGCATTGGTTGTAAAGTGATGTTAGTATAAGTGACTAAAATGATGAATTTGAGATGATTTATACCTACTGAAGTCAACAGGCAAACAAATACACTACTTAGAAGTTTTAAGTGGGAAAATAAATTTATTGTATATTATGTATGTATTAAACTGCTGAATTAACATTTTAACATTATGTATTATTTGGAAATCAAGAATTGTTGGTCTTTTTATGATACAGTCTGATATCTTGGAAAGTAGGAACTTAGTAGAAAAAGGCACATTTAATAATTTCAAAACATTGTTTAAATTAATGTTATTTTGTTTTCTAATTGCATCGGCTACCTAAAATGCTTTCACTTTAAAAACTAAAACCCTCAGGGGTGCCTGGGTGGCTCAGTGGGCTAAGCCTCTGCCTTCGGCTCAGGTCATGATCTCAGGGTCCTGGGATCGAGCCCCATGTTGGGCTCTCTGCTCAGAGGGGAGCCTGCTTCCACCACCCCCCCGCCTGCCTCTCTGCCTCTCTGTCAAATAAATAAATAAAATCTTTTTTAAAAAAACCAAAAACTAAAACCCTACCTTAAATTATGAGATACTTTCATAGGCCAGTATTTGAATATGATGTCAAATTGTATAAAAGATTGACTATTCTCACAGAATATATGTAACACGGCCTATGTTAGAAATTGTGATGTTTAACTTGTGTGTCTGATCTCTTCAAGGCTGCAAAACGAGGGATCCTTTCATCTGGTCGGGGTAGAGGAATTCACTCAAGAGGTCGAGGTGCAGCTCATGGCCGAGGCAGGGGTCGAGGTCGAGGTCGAGGTGTGCCTGGTCATGCCGTGGTGGATCATCGTCCCAGGGCGTTGGAGATTTCTGCGTTTACAGAGAGTGATAGAGAAGATCTTCTTCCTCATTTTGCGGTACTTTCTTACTGTCCAACAGAACACGTACTGATAATCATTGTTGGGGATAATGGATATTGAAGGGGAAATTATGAAAATATGAGTAATTTAAACCCTTTAATCTGACCAAAGGGTTTGATTAATCCATAATAGTCTTTTGCTAATTATTTAAAAAATCGAGGGATTTTTTGTTTGTTTGTTTAATTACTGTCTGGAAGACAGGTTGCTATTCTTAACAGTAGGCCTTCAGATATTGTGAAATGAATGATTTAAATTTTGCTGTTTCAGAGGGGGATGTCCTGTAGTTTAGTTTCGTTTGATATATACATGGAACAGAAAATTTAACACATTGCAAAGGGCACCTAGATACTCTAAAATTAAGATGGAATTTTATGTCTTAATACCATACTCTTGATCTAGCTGACCTTCGAAATGAAACCAGACAAAATTTTGATATGTGCCCTTGAGGTTGCCTCTATTCACTGGCAGGATGTAATTGAAGGGAATGAGTCTAATGTAGACCTGTGAGAAAGGAGAATGAGATTCTAGTCCTGGCTAACCCATTCTTTTACTTGGACTTCCTGGGATCCATTGGGCTTGTGTGTAGAATAGAGATTATATTTGCCTAAAGGCCTTTTCAACTTAAATATTGTGATTCTTAGTGGTATCCCAAAGGTTAGTTACTAAGCATCGGCCTTGCCTTCAGGACTATAGTAACTGCTCTGGAGATACAAAAGAAATAACCAGTTCTTCACCTTCAAAGATCTTATATATATTGTTTTAACACAAGGCAGTTAAAGTAAGCTGCAAACATAATTTACCACACCATCAAGCTAAATTTATTAAAAACTGTAAGTACTTGAGTAACTCAGAAAAGTATCTTTCATATAGGCATATGATGGAAAAAGAACAGTATAGGAGAATTTCATAAGGTAGGAAAACTGGAGCTTAGATCTTGAAGGATCTGTAAGCTTATAGATAGGTACACAAAAGATTGAATCTTTTGGAAATTCCAATTTAGATGTTTGACAGTCATATTCTAGGCTGTTAATAGAAGTTACAAAGGTGAAACTATATTTTGTCAGGACATGGGGAATTATTGAAAGGAATGGAAAATATTAAAGAAGTAACTAAAATGATTAATATTTAAGGATGAGGAGTCTGGAAAGTCTTATGCTTGATGGTTTCAAAGGGAGAAAGAAAGGGATCAGAGAACTAGAAAGGATCTTAGAGATAATTTTGCCCAATTTTTGCCTGTTACTCACCCCAGCTTCTCCCACCCCTTTCACAAAGGAAAGGAGATTCAGATAATTAAGTGTTTTGCATGCAGTTATATAGCTAATCAAGAAACTAGCAAAGAATATGCTAAAATAATCCAGATAAACCAGTGAGTTTGTTATGCATGTACTTTAGTGACAACTAGGATGGATTTTGGTTTTATAAATATTCAAAGCCTCTAAATGGAGATTCTTGTGTGTATTTAGAGATTTGAACTCCTCTCAAAGTTAGTAGTGGTAATGCACATTTAAAAATAGTCTTTAAGAATGGTGCATGTTTAAAATTTAGTTTTCTGTCTCAACCTGGCATTTGAACATGTGACAAGTAACAGAAGAAAAGAAAACTGCATTATTATAGGACCATTAACTGTTACAGATTGTGATTAACAACATGCTTTCATTAATTTATCCACCTAAACCAGTAGTAGTATTAGTAATAAAAATAATAGCTAAAAGTTTTAGAGCATTTATTTTGTGGCAGGTATTATTCTGAGTCTTACGTAATTCATTATATTATGCGTTATCTCAACAACTCTGAGGTACATACCCACTTTAGAGATGAAGAAGATGAACCATGAAGAGATTAAGTAACTTGTTCAAGTTCAAACAGCTAGTAACTGACAGAGCTGAAAGGAGCTGATTGATGCTAGAGTATTGTTATCTTTACAGAAATTTGCGATTTCTGTAAAAAAATTTCTGGAGTGTGTGTGTGTGTGTGTGTGTATTTAATGAGATTATAGTTATTTTGTTTTGGGGTAGGAAAGAAGGCAGGTATTAGTAATGATGAAGGACTAGAATTTTATATGATAAAGGTTGCTGTTTAAAGGAAATATGATAAAAAAAATCCTGCTACATAGAGAAAAAATAAAATCCAACAAAATAAAAGCAAGCATAATTTATTTAGTTGTTTTTTAAAGTGTGTTGTGTAGAGGAGTATGTAATAGGAGTGAAAGCAAGGTCAGTTCGGATGTTAAATCAAAAGACCTAGACTCTCCTGCTATTTAACTTAAATTAAATAAATTTGAGAAAATTATTTAAATTCTCTGAATCTTCTTTTTGGCACCTTCTTTAAATTGGGAATGACACAAAAAACTCATAGAATATCCTGAGGATTAAATATTCGGTTTCAGAAAGAATTTAGCATATTCTAGGATTACGAAGGTCAGTAAGGAAGCCCAATTGTGACTGTTATTTCATTTTTTTAAGGAATAGTTGATTCAATCGTAAGTTTCCCTAATTCTAAAAAGTATAGAATTGTAAATAGGACCATTCTTTATCTTATAATATCAAGTACTAAAATGAATTATTCATCATTTTTTTCTGTTAATCACCATGAATTGTTATATATTCTGGGTTACATTTATTGGTAATTTTAAAAGCCATTAGGATTTTGGATGTTTCAAAATATTTATTTGGAGGAAATACTTCTTTTTAATTTAAAGCAATATGGTGAAATTGAAGATTGTCAGATTGATGACTCTTCACTTCATGCAGTAATTACATTCAAGACAAGAGCAGAAGCTGAAGCAGTAAGTATTAGAAATAATCTGATTTATTGAAAATTCAGATTTAAATGTTATATAAATATTGCTTTTAAGTCTTAATATAAAGGAATTTTTTTTTTACTTACTAAATAACTACAGTTTGACAGTAGATAGATTATAAGAAGTAATTCATGGCCACAAAGAATGTCCTAAAGCAGTTAGGCAATTCTGTTTATAACATGATATTATTAGAATAGTCACCAAGATGAATAGTAAGTTGTATTGTCTTGAGACACTAGCAGTTCTCCTTCCTTTCTCTTTCATAGGGGATAGGGCCACACCCAACTTTCCATTATCCTTTTTCTCACCTGGCCCAGAACAAAGTCTGCTTTGGCAGAAAGAGTGATGAGAGATAAGGTAGAAGCTAAGATAAATCGTGATGTCAGATCTTCTAAAGCATCCCTTATCTGCTGCTTCCTAGTTCCAGTAGGCTGAACTTTAACGTGTCCCTAGCTCAGCATCCCCAACTAAGCCTCTATAACTTTCTGCCCAGGCATGATACATTGCTGTAGCTTTTAGGGTCCTTTTATTATGGTTGTCTTAAACCATGCATCTTGAATTGTCTTTATAAAGGATGAGTATATGCAACCTTGTCTTCCATCGGGGTTTAAAAGATTTAAAAAAAAGGAAAATGGGTATAGGAGATTGATAGGAATGTTTTTAGCCCTGTGTGTTCTTTCTTCAGGATTGTAGAGAAATAGATGTACCATCTTGTCCTTGGAAAAATGCAATAAGAGTTCCAAACAGTTAACCTAATGTGAATGAAAGAGTAGTATGCTTTTCAGAAGTTTTTTTCAATATATATATATTTTTTAAGATTTTATTTATTCATTTGACAGAGATCACAAACAGGCAGAGAGGCAGGCAGAGAGAGAGGGGAGGAAGCAGGCCCCTTGAGAGCAGAGAGCCCGATGCGGGGCCGATCCCAGGACCCCGGGATCACGACCCGAGCCGAAGGCAGAGGCTTTAACCCACTGAGCCACCCAGGCACCCCTGCTTTTCAGAAGTTTTTAAGTGGATTGTGGTCTAAATTAAAGTGTTTAAAAACTTTCTAAATTGATGTGTCTTCTTTGTAGTGAATATTCCCTGACAACACAATGGTACCTTACTGGGGACCTTGGAGCATTGTAACCAATAAAAGACTGTGGATCTGAAAAGTCTCAGTGAAGTGCTCAGCTGGGGCCTTGTAATAACTAGTGTCAAGATTAGTGGTGTAGGAGGTGGATAGTTTTATGGAATAGGAGTTCCTAATCCTAGAGTTTTGTTTTTTTAAAATCTACTTTTGGGTAATGTTTCACTTAAAGATCTTTTTTCAGAGTAAAAAATGTTACTGACTGATGAGAGTTTAAAACTTTTATAAACTTGTATGTGTACATGTTATATTAAGAAATAGATCTTTGATCAAGTTTTCTCTCAAAGGTATTATTGAGTATAAGTTGAAAAATAAGCTTCTTTTTCTTAGGTAGCTTGAGTAAGTCTCTTTATGTTCTATTTTCTAGGCACTAGTCCTAAAACAGTGGTAGTTGTCATTATATAAATGATTATAAGTTTGTTAAAACTTCTTGTTTATGTGGCTAAGGGAAAAAAACTTTTTACCTTTGAAATAATTTTTGAAAGTTTGGCTCTTGGAAAATTTATTGACATACAGCCTCTTTCTTGGGTATTGCTTTTTCCACCTCAGATATGTATATTTATATGTACATACTATATATGTGTGTACATATTTGTATATAAAAATATATTTTATATGTACATATTTATATATATATAAATACATGTATATTTATACAATGCATATGTTTTCCAAATGAATAGCAATCAATTCAAAAGACTAGGGATTGATGTATGACAAACACTGAATTTTATGGGGGTTGAAGAAGTGACAAAATAAGTTAGATCCAATAAGAATTATCTTTTCGGAGTAAATACCATTTTAGTTGGAATTACTTAATAGCCTGAAAGGAAGAACTACCATTGCTATGCTAAACATTTGAATTAAATTATAGAAGTTGTTGATCCAAAGCCAAATAAGCCAAAACAATTCTTAAAATTTTGTAACTTTCTGTTGTAGAAAAGAATAGAAAATTAAGTTGAAGCTTATCTTCTCCAAACAGAATATAGGCTAAGGCAGTGGTTTTCCAAACGTCTAGATTTGGGGGACCATTGAAGTTTGGGAATTTAAAAAAATTAGTGTGTTTGATATAGAGGCGCCAGTTTTTAATTTTGTTAAGGATGAATGCTTATAAAATATAAAATAAATTTCACGTACCATCATCATCATTTTGTAAAATAAAGAAAATTTTGACACCAAAAATGTAAGAGGTTATAAACTCAAGGTAAATGATAGGTCTTCCCAGGAAAAGAAAATTATCCACCGTTTTTGATGTTAATTTCCAAATATTTCTTTGTTTTTATTTTCTGAACTGTTGTCCTAGGTGAGTGAATGAATGTCTCTGTATTTTCTGTAATCAATAAATGGTATAGTATTTCATAGTGAAAGTACAAAATGTACTTCAGACATTCATATATGACTGAAAAGTGAGAAGTTTTCCCCATATAGATGTACCAAATTTAATCAGCCATGCTGATGGCCTTTAAATTGTTTTTGTTCTTTTACAGTGCAGCAGTGAACATTCTTGGAGCATATTTCTCGGTGTACATATGTGAATATGAATATAAGATATATTCTTGATGCAATATAACTGCATGAAATGATATGTGCACTTAAATTTTTGATGGATAGTTCTAAGATTGCTTCCTTCATTCCCCCTCATATAGGTTGTACCACATTTCCTTGCCCACCAAAGATGTATGAGAGTGCCTTTTCCCCACACACTTGCCGTAGTGTATACTCTGTGTAGTGGTTTGCTCATATAAAATACATGGGTACATGAGCCATAGAATGGTATCAGTTTTATTTTGGTAAAATAGCAACTCATTTCAGTTTTAATACACTTTTATGATTAAAATTGAACGTTTTCACATTTGTTTAAATGCTCTTTATTTCTGTTTCTGTCAACTGTTAATGTCATTTGTTTACTCTCTTGCTGAGTTCTATTATGATTTTTTTCTTTCTGATTTTTTTTTCAATTCTTTTCCTAGAAAATTAGCTCATAATTTCTAAACATTTCAATGAAAATTCATATGACTTTTATTTGGCATAAGGTGTGAAATAGGGAGCCTACTTGATTTTACTGAATAAAAGCTGGTTTCCCAAACTTAGGTGAACTACCCTTAGTGTGTAAAAATTTTCCATGTTTATTGGATCATGTTCGGGATTCATTCTCTTCTATTGATCAGTTTTCTTTTCATGTGCCTCTTCTGCACTGCTTTAATTAAGCTAAACTTTATATTTTAATAGTTTGTCAGGGTTGTTGTTTGGATTCCTTCTTATTATGCTCACCTATTAACTCATTTTAAGCATCTTCCTCATAGATTTTACATGTTTATTTTTTATATAAGCTTACCAGGTTCTAAAAAGAATAATACATGGGAGATTTAACATCTTTGTGATACAAATATTCCTCTATAACATCATTATATTTCAATCCTTTATTCTCTAACAGCATTTAGAGGTTTTCTTTATATAGATTTTATTTATATATGTAAAATCGATATAGGTAATATACATATGCTGCAGGTTTCATAATATATAACATATAAGTATAAAATATAGTAACATATAGTATTTAATGTGAAATATATATAACATACGTATAATTTTTTACATAAATAAATATATTAGTTTTCCCCCAGTCATTTAACTTCTAGTTATTTTAAATGAGGTCTTCTTTATGTAGAAAAATCAATTGTCTGTTCTTATTAGATATGTAGCTGCCATCTTACCAAATTATCTTTTGATAGTTTTTTAGTTTTGTTGTCCTTGGTATTTCAGGTAACCATATCCATCTTTAATGTTTATAACTTCTTACTTTCTGTTACTTATTGGTACCTTTAGAAAAATATTAAAAAACAGTAATAGTAATTGTGTCTCCACTCATGACATTCCATTCATTGTCTTGCTCATGAAATGAATGAAAACATTTCTAATAATTTTAGTATTATATATGGTGCTAGCTTTTTAGATTAAGATAGAATACAAATGATTCCTGTTTTTTGGAAGCTGTAGTGATTTTGGGTTTTGATCAGAGAGAGATGTTATCGTAATTTTTGTGTATTTATAGAAATATGAGGGTTTCCCCCTCTCATCTATTTATATTGTTTCCTGAGATTGACTAACCATTTGCTTCTGGTACAGATCCCCATGGTACTGTATTTTTCTTTGATAAATCACTGAAGTCTGAAGTCTTCCTTTTTTAAAAAAATTTTTATTTATTTTTACTTCTAAAAGACTTTATTGAAATATAGTTGATAGGCATGTTATATTAGTTTCAGGGGTACAGCATAGTGATTTGGCAATTCTCTTACTCATTTCTCACCATGATAAGTATGGTCACCATCTGTCACCGTATAACATTATTACAATATTACTGATTATATTTCCTATATTATACTCTTGATCCATGTGACTTACTTATTTTTTAACCAAAGGTTGTACCTCTTAATCCTCTGTAGATAATTTTGCCCATTCCCCTATCCATCTCCCCTCTGGCAACCACCAGTCTGTTCTCTGTATTTAAGAGTGTTTGCTTTGTTTTTTATATCCTGCATATAAGTGAAATCATACGGTATTTGTCTTTCTCTGACTTACTTCACTTAGCATAATACCCCTCCAGATTCATCATGTTGTCGCGGATGATAAGGTTTTATTCTTGTATTTATTTGTAGTTTTAATTCAGTCTTTGGAAGTAAGATTTGTTTGTAGACTGGAGGGGTGTTATTTACATCAGGTATCAATACTACTTGGCTTTATAAAAAGTCACTGGAAAGTTTTCCATCTTTCTTTGTGCTGAGTTAATTTTAAGTAGCATTGGAGATACATTTTCTTAAATGTTTAATAGAGTTTATCTGTGAATATATCAGCTTCTACTGATTTAGATCCATGTATCTTTTTAAAACCTTTTTCTTTTCTGTAGGAAAGATTTGTTTATTTATTGCTTTTTTTAAAAGATTTAATTTATTTATCAGAAGGGGAGAGGGAGAGTGAGCACAAGCAGGGGGAGCAGCAGGCAGTGGGAGAAGTAGGCTCCGCGCTGAGCAAGGAGCCCAGTGAATGCGGGACTTGGTCTCAGGACCCTGGGATCATGACCTGAGCTGAAGGCAGATACTCAACCAACTGAGACACCCAGGAGTCCCTATATATATATTTTTTCTTTTTTGGCTTTATTTTGGTACTTTGGTGTTTTTTTTTTTTTTTTAAGTTTTTTTTTTTTATTAATTTATTTATTTAACAGACAGAGCTCACAAGTAGACAGAGAGGCAGGAAGAGAGAGAGGAAGGGAAGCAGGCTTCCTGCTGAGCAGAGAGCCTGATGTGGAGCTCTATCCCAGGACTCCGGGATCATGACCTGAGCCAAAGGCAGAGGCATTAACCCACTGAGCCACCCGGGTACCCCCTACTTTGGTGGTTTTTCATTGAAATTATCAACTATTTTCATTAAGATGAGCAAATTTAATTTTATCTTCTGGAGTTATTTTCCCCACTTTTCTTTATTTTGTTTATTTTTACAGTTAGCCCCACTTCCACCTTTATAATCACTACCACCTTGCTCAAATAAGCATCCTGTAGAATACATTTAAACATGTTTTTGTTAACATTTTGTAAGTAGTTACAAAGTTCATTTTTAAATGTACATTTTAATAAAATGGTTACAGAACTCTTGAAGTGACTGCCACAGTATTGAAAAGCATTGACCTAGTTGATATTATACTATTAAGCAATAGTAAGACAGTGTGATATGGACTTGGCCAAAATATTCCAGAGAGCATAAGGACAAAATAATGTCAGAATAACTAAGAATATTCTGAAAAAGATGAAGAGTGATACCAAATTCATTGTGTAATAATTAATTTAGTAATGGTATGGATAGACAATAAAATAGTTCAGAAAAAGACCTGAATCTATGAAAGAATTGTAGAGGACTACAAGGAGATATTTTATTTAAATCAGGAAATTTAAATTTACTGAGTAATCTGAAAATAATGTTACGACATTTGGCTATTGGGAAAAAATTATACATTATGCCTTTTTTTTTGGTATCAAAATAAAGGTGCATAAAAGTTTTTTTCTTTTTTCTGTACATATGACTAGTAAAAAGCTGGGGATTCCTAAAAGTAATTTTAGTGTGGAGGGGGCTTTTTAAAGGACTGGCACAATCTGGAAGCCATAAAGGTAAACACTGATAAATTACAGTAGATGAAAATTTAAACTTACTTATTTAAATTTATGACAAAAAGAACAGCAGCAGCCCCTTTCCCTTTAGTATAAACATCCATTGTAATTGTAAAATCAAGATCCAGTTGAGAAAAGAATATTTTGCCAAACAAATAGGGCAAAGTTCCATTCAAGAAATTAGTTTAAATATGGTGTAGGTGTGTGTGTATGTAAGTAGCCATTCAAGAAAAGTGAAAAATCTATTGTTATGGCTATGGAAAGGGTCTGTGAAATAATTGAATTAATAATATAAGAATGAGGTGTGAGACCAGTAAAGTATGTTCCCATGTACATATCCTATATATGTATATGCACGAACACTCTTCATAAGTGCATAGGACTTTTTTTAGTGGGTTGCAGGACTTTTTTCCAAACTCTTCATAGAATAGTGGTTATCTCTTCAGGATAGGACAATCATGGATTATGATATTTTACATTATGTAACCAGAAATTTTGGAATTTTTAAAAAAATAAAATGGGTAGATTATAGAATTTTTTAAACATTAAAGATTTTATGTTACAAATTACTTAAAATAAATTTGTATATTTTAAAAGGAAGAACTCAGTTATCTCAAATTTATATAGCCAAATAGTCAAAAATTTCTAATGGCGAATGTTGATAAAATGTTAAATATACCTAGCTTTGAAATCATCCTATAAAATGTTAAAAACTTTAGAGGGTTGTAGACTCACCTTATAAATTTGAAGATATATGTGCTAAATACAGAGATTGACAGTATTAGGTCATCAGAAATGTTAAGAACTTATAGAACTTAAGAACTTAGAGAAAATTTTTGGCCTTTTTTAACTGGATGAAAAGATGAGCTTTATGAGTAGACATTTTGCATGACACTATTGGAATTTCTTATAGTAACATATTTTTATGTAATAGTTTTAGCTTTAAAAAATTATAAGTCATTTCTAAACTTAAATATCATATATAAGTACTTAAAAATTTTTTTAATTTTATGACATTGTGGTGAGGCCATGGACTAAAAACTCCTGAGCTGCATTTTGTAATAGGTATGAAATCTCTTAAATTTATAATAGATTTACATGTGCAGATTTAAAATTTATACCTAGAGACTTAAATATCACACAACTCATGGTTAGGTGTTGTTGAACATGTAATTGTTTCTGGATTTCACATTATACTATGAGGTTGTGCTATAAATCTTTCATGACTATGAGTTATTCTGGTATGTTGCTAACATTCATTTATATTTGTTCATGTTATTTTAATTTGAATGCACATTTCCTAATCACTTAATTTAGCAGATACTAAGTTTGACTTTTACCTTACATAGTTATGAAAGCTTTGTAGGAAATACTTTAGTTTCAGTAGAAACATTCAGGGTTTTTTTCCTTCATGGAGATACTTAGGTTTCGTAAGAGTGATACATGTAGAGCATCATATTTAAAGATAATGTGATACCTTATTGATGTAATTTTAAAATAATGTGATACTTTACGCATGCAGAAGTATTCTTATATCTGTTAAAGGTTTCTAGTTTGTAGTTACTATATATGTCATTCATAAATTAACAAGAATTAAAATACAATAAAGTACCTTTAGCCTGCTGATCCTAATTTGGACTTCAGTTCAGAACCTACAGCCAGGATCTTGAAATGTCTTGAGATTGTTGCCTTTAATAGCCATTATCATTGTATTGTAAACATGTATACATAGTTCTAGTCAGATACTGGCCATTTGTAGAATAGCTCTGCTCAATCATGAGAAAGTGTTCTCATTTTCTTTTTAAAGTTATTTCCAAACACAGAGCTGATTTTAGAAGTAAATAACCATAAAAAGTAAATTATAAATTATAATAATAAATACTAAATGGAGAAATAACCACAAAGTTAATGGATAGGTATCTTCTCTTTTGTTTTACTAATTTAAATATTAGATACTATAACATTTCATTGTTTAGAAATTATTAATATTCTGCATTCTAATGTTCTTAATTATTTTAGGCTGCAGTTCATGGAGCTCGTTTCAAAGGGCAGGATCTAAAACTGGCATGGAATAAACCAATAACTAATATTTCAGCTGTTGAAACAGAAGAAGTTGAACCTGATGAAGAGGAAGTATGTTTTTTTTTTTTTTAATTTGTGTTGGATCTTAAATGTTCACATTTTTATATGAAATATGATTTTATGGCTGTGATTTTAACATAAAATTTTATTCCTGAGCCATATTCCAGGCAGGGGATGTCAGATAAATGCAGACCAGCTTTAAATTTTCTGGATTAATGAGAACTATGGATTACTAATCCAAAAAAAGAAAGAAAAAAAGAAAATCATATATATACTCAGTTTTCATTTACTCTTAGAACACAATAATTATTCTTTAGATTTTTATCCACAGGAAATCTTGTAATATTTTAAGTTTTAGAGTATATCTCCTCCTTATTTGCTTTATTAACATTTCAGGTTTCCTTTATTTTAATTCATACCGTTTTAGTTCATTAGAGTGAATGCCTTCTATATGGTAGATACTGTGATAGGCACAAAAATGAATAAGACACGGTCCCTATCATCAAGGAGCTTTAATCGGGAAAGGGGGGTGGTGACAGACACATAAGAAACTAATTATAATGAAAGGCAGAGTGATACGCTCAATAAGAGATCTGAACAATATGCTGTGGGAACCCTGGGGAAGGAGTGGTTATTTCTGACCAAAAGAGTCTTGAAGAAGGTGGTGACAGTGGAGCTGAACCCTAAGTGATAAAAAAAGCTTTCCATAACCAAGAGCTTGGGCTGGGAATAGATTGAGAGAGGCATTTTAGGTGTGGAAGGGGAATAGGTGTTGAACAGTCCATTTTTCTTGGTACAGCAATTAGTATGATGGCTGAGAGGTGTGAACATAAAGAAGAATGAAGTGGGAGAGCCCTTTGAAATCATAAACATAACTCTATTTGATTTGATCATGAAATAAGCTATAGGAAAAAGTTGAGGTTAATAAAGGTAAGGTGGGGAAACAATGATTCCATGTTTTACCTTTGTTAGATTTTCTTAATGGCACTTCATTTTGTTTGAAGAGCATTCGAGGCTGTTATACATATCCATAGTCAAATGCAAGAATAAAATGTGTATTTTGAAACTCATATACATGATTTGTCATTTTATATTTTAGATTATACCTTTGTCCTTCCATGAGTTTGAATTGAATGGGGAGAAAAGCAGGAGAGCTCCTGGTATTAGGTATTTTGAAAAGTTTGAAAAGCAGTCTGAGAAGCTTTTATGAAGGGAATGGGGAAAAGCAAGGAATGCTATAAAAGAAATGTTTGTTTCATATAGCAGAAAAAAATATAAATCTATAAATCTTGATAGATGTTTCTACAAGTTATTGGTTGATTTAGTGTCCAGGCTTAGACAGGGTAAGTCAGAGAACACTTATTGATGTTTTCTTTTTTTAAAAACTAAAGGTATTGAGCACTGTTTTGTAGGTGTAGAAGATGGCATAATTTGATCAAGTGAGGCAGGAGAAATGGCATGTAAAAGGCTTACTTGGATATTTTTTTAGTGCCTGTTCGATATAAACCATAGAATAGATATTGTAGAGAAACCATTGAGTGGATAAAGGTTGCTTTTCTTTGTTCTTGAAAATTGTAGCTATAGAAATACCTTTTGTATTCACCTCTTTTGAGAGAAATCAGTATTTAAAAGTGTTACCTTTTTTCTTTTCTTTTTTTTTTTTTTTGGGTAAATTCCTAAATGCATTTTAACCTAAAGTTTCAGGAAGAGTCTTTGGTGGATGACTCATTACTTCAAGATGATGATGAAGAAGAAGAGGACAATGAATCTCGTTCTTGGAGAAGATGATTTGACTGATCATTGATCTGCATATGCTAGAACTCTACCTGTGTTTCATTAGTATTATCTAATGTACTTTTACATATTTGTAAAAACAATTTTTTTGGTAAAATGTGATGAAGATGGATTTCACAAATAGAAGAGAAGAAAACTACCTTCTGATCCTGTATTTTGAAAGATTGATGTTTGCATTTTATTTCAGTAAACAATTGCTAAAGACATCACACTAGAAACATATGCAATGTTTTTATTACATACTTCTACTGAACATTACGGAATTCTTTGGGTTCTTTGTAATTTAATGAATAGGTCTAAAACCTTACGACCAATACTTGTTATAACTTAGAGGATTTTGTTTTACTCCAAATAAGGAATGAATTTGCATTTAAAATCTTAATGAATGTTTTCAAAAATGAATAGATAACATAGTACTCTAACTAAAGTCTCCCAATTTATGTACTCATAATATTACATAGTAGTATGCTTAGGCTTTACTATGTATTAGCCTTTTGTTGGACTTGTGTATGTATTTTACCATATGGGTTTTAATGATAACGGTGTATGACTGCTTTGCATATGAGTCCTTATGCATTCAGATGTTAAAAATAAAGTGGAATGGTCTCTTGAAAAGAAAAGAAAAAAAAAAAAAAACCAATGACAAAAAAACCCCACAAAGACCAAGACAATGTTCCTTGATTTTAAAAAAGAAAAAAGAAAAAAAAAAAGGAAAGAAAAGAAAAAAAAAATTAAAATAAATAGACCATTCCAGATGGTGATCTACCCTTCCCCCCAATTATCACAAAAGGAGCTATAATCACTAATTTATTAATAATGGTTACTGGTACCTTTACAATAATGTACAATCCAATGTAAAAAATTTATACCACTTCAGTTTGGTTTGATCCTATAAATTTTCAACAGATGTCTTAAAATTTAAAAGCAGGCTGATTAGTTTGGAACCAGACTTCAAGTAGAGCTAACATTTGGTGAATAAGAAAACATCACATTACATTTTGGATGTATGAAAGAAAACTTGACCATTTGAAGATGTATGAATAAAGAAATGTACTATAGATACTACTTTAGGAAAACACTGTTTGGTAAGTGTTCCAGTCTGATATTTTAAGTGTGCATTTCCTATACTTGTATAAAAATCTTTGACATTTGCAACAGTATTGTGACTTTTAAGTGGATTTCTCTGGCAAATGAACATTATCATTGAAAGTTGATACAGCAGTTTCAGGAAATAAATGCATTCTTTGTAGAATGAGGGGGTGGGAGATTACATATTTACCTTTCAAAATTTATTTCATTTGCAAGTGTTTCTTCCCCTCCTGAGATTATAGTGATCATATTCAGTGTCACATTAAAAAAAATCAACTTTCTTCTCGTACTGGGCTCCTCACAGTCACAAACTGTAATTCCAACACCATAATCCTCTGTCAGTGGGATAACTAATGGATGCTGTTCCTCTTTTGCTTTTTTCCTCCCACACTTAGGGTTAAAGTTGTATATATGTTCTTGATGGTAATCCTATTTCACAGGAATGTTTTGGCTTACATTTGGTACATGTCTTAATATTTAAAATTTCAAAATCTATTTCTTTTGTCAAAATAGTGACTTTACTCAAAAACTTCTTTACTTAGATCTGTGATATATTTTTATGTAGTCTCTTGTATGTTGACTATGTGCTATTCTGATTCATTAGGTAAGTTTGTTTTCTTTTCTTTTTAGTAGTCGTGAAAGGTGCCAAATTGGCAGAGGCTCACGTTTCTTCTCTTTACACCAAACAGGTATTATAAAGAAAGAAAATCTTTCAAAGGCCAGTTAAATCTCCATGCTGATTTTTGGCTTTATAATTTGACTAGTAAATTTTAGCCTGATTTTTAGAAATTATTATAAAATTCCCTTATAATGTAACTGAAATTACCTACTTATTTAAATCCATAAGTAGCTTATCAGTTTCCCTAGTCTTAAATTCTCTAGTAACCTAAAATTAAAATGTTTTAAGCCATGTTGCTTTGAATGAATCAGAAAACAAGTATGTTTCACTTTCGTTCCAAAGAATGAGGAGTAAATATTACATTCATTAGGTTCACAGTTACATTTTCATTATCATTAAGATGATTTTAAGTATAAATACTAGTACTTAATTGCTACTGGGTTTTTGAAATTAATGAATATGCTTATAAATACTATGCATGTACTTTCATGTGTTCTGATTTTAAACTCAAGGTATCCCTTTGAAGTAGTTGCTAATTCCCATTTTACAGATAAGGAAACTTAGGCTAATAGAGATAGAGTGACTTCCCAAAGTCACAGCTAGTGAGTGGAAGGACTAGATTTGAATGCAGGCATTCTGATTTGGGTGCTTTTTTTTTTTTTTAAACTCTACATTTCTACTCCTTCCTAAATATTGATTGAGCATGAGATTGTGTTTGCAGTAACTATGGTAGTTCTTGCACAAAATTGGTAGACGACTTGGTCATTACCCAGTTCATACCTTTACCCTCCCTTCTAATACAGCACTTTGTTCATATCTCTGTTATAGTACTTATGTTGTAATATAATTTATCTGGTTTATATGTCTGTCTTCCCCACTAAATTACAAGCTCCTCTAGGAAGGGGACCATGTCTTATTCATCTTTTTATCTCTAGTGATTATCACAAAGCCTGGCTCATAATGGGCACTCAGATGTTTGTTGGGTGAATTAATGAATGAATGCATATTTAAATCTCCAATAATGGAGTGACAATTACCTCCCTTGTTAATTCTTATCAATTTTCCAAATCTCTCCTGAAGGTCTTCTCAGTTATTGAGACCATTTTGCTAAACAGTTGAACAGTTACGTATTGCAGAAGTGGGTTAAAAATACTGATGGAGGAATATACATATAGTCTTAATGGAATTTCCACAACAGTTAAGACATTAATAATTTTGGAGTATTAAATGTTGTAGTCTGTTTCAGGAGTAAACTAGCCTTTGGTTTCTGTCTGTGTGTAAGAATATAAATGCCAAGAGCCACGAATCTAGTCCATCCCACTAATTTTTTAATATCCAAAGATGACCTAGCGTGGAGGTGCCAGATAAGAGTTAAGCGATTTAGCTTTTGGTTCCAGCTCTGCAACTGACTCTTTGGCCTTAGACAAGTCTCTCAACTTATCCAGGGTGTTTCCTTGTCTGTAAAATGAAAGGGCTTGGACTAGATGATCTTAAGGTCCCTTTCACACTGTAGTTTCCTTGGTGTAGTATATTTAATATAAAACACTTTTTAATGTATCTGTGCCAGTCCCCCCTACCTGTTGATGGTATTGTTGTTTCTGTCATCTTATCAATGGAAACAACTTAGATTTGGTTATGATAGTCTGAATAATTGTGTCTCAGTACAGTTTTGTATATAGTGTTCCCAAATGCTTGCTTTTGCTGGCACAAAATTCATTTAACTTCTAAAGTATAGCTTAGCTTCCGTATTCACTAGACTTGGTAGACTTCTGCTTACAACTTTCCTTTTGCTTCTAAACTCGAAGTCTAAAACTCTTTCTGTTAATGATATGCTACCTAAAACTTGAAACATATATTTAACTCTACAATTCTCCCAACAAGTTCTTTGCTTTAGTACAGATCTGGGCTGAGTTTGAAGTGAAAAAAGGATTCAGAACAGTGTAGGTAGCTGCTACTTAACCAAAAAAAAAAAGAGAGAAATTATATATTACTGGTTAAAAGATTGATTAGGATTACCTCAAGGGATGGTTAAGTTGTCATTTTATATATTTCACTCAATATTTTATGTCTTAAGCAGTGTTGTTTAAATGTTATTGAATAATTGTGAGATTTTAAAAAATTAATTTTAGTATTTAATTGATGCCCAACTATTTAATGAAATCATGTTGCAGGAATGGGAGAGTATTACATAGCTCTTGTTTTATTGTAATACAATCAAGTGTATCAACCAATAGTTTACCATAAAGACAAAACTTCAGTGGTTTAGGCTGATTACCTGCAGAAAAGTATGGCTGAGCTTAATTGTAGGAAGTTTCCTGTGACTAGAACTGTTTTATGGGGACTGTATTTCCAATCTTCAACTTGGGACACTAATCATTGGCTCTAAGGATTACATAAGAAAGCAAAACATTTGCTTGTTTGGTATGTTGAAATATCAGTGGTTATTTTAGAGTGTTATACAAACTTTACCGACCTATATTTTCTTTTTTTCTTACCTTACACATAAAGTGAACCAGTTGTAGAAAATTAGTTTTAGTCGTCCTAGAATTTGTAGAAATATTTACAAGCTTTTTTTCTTACCTTACACAAAAATCTTTGAATCTTTTAAAACAAAAATGTCCTGCGTGGAATTCTAGTTAATTAGTTCACTTTTTGGTCTTTTCTCTCAGGGCTTTTATTCTTCTAAAGCCCTATAAATAAAAACAAAAATTTAGGATTAAGTCATCAGTGAATGATGTTTGTAAGGCAGAGAGAAAATTTCGTTTTCCCAAATCTCAGGAACTACCCTGTTCTTGTTAACTTCTTGAACTGGCTAGTTGCTTTCAGGTATGTATACAGGCTTTTAGAGGAGAGTAGCATTTTTTTTTGTTGTTATTTTCTCTCTCTCTCTCTCTCTGATCATTATATACTTATCAGATGACTAGAGATTATCTTCCAAATTAGCTACCTAAAAGTTCTGAGAAAAAAAGAAATCTTGGTGAAATGACTGCCATTCTCACTATTTTCTAATGAAAACATCATACTTGGTTAGTAGAAAAATTCTGAGTTTGGTAAATAACTTTCTTGCAGTTTATCAGTAATATGTATTCATTACATAGTGTATCAAGAGCACTTATTTGTTTTACTTTTTTTGGTATCAATTTATTATTGTTCCTGATTCCTCCCTCCCTATTACTTTATTTCATCCATCCACTAACTTCCCATCATCCAGTTAGTCTCCCTTTGTATATGAAGCACTGTCTCATTCTGATGTGTCCCTTTTTATTTTTGGATGTTTAATCATTGTGCTTAGTACAGAATTTTATGTCCTGTAGTGTAATTAAAGAATGAAATGGTTATCATACAGAGTTTAAGGAAATTAGATACACCTCACAATTACTTTGAAATCATTGGGAAATTTTAAGAAAATTGTTCTTTTATTTTTACATACTCTATCTTGGAATTTGTTTGTGATTTCTTAAAGTTACTTTGGCTATCCACACTTCTTTAACAATTGACTATCTTATCAGTTACTGCACTTCCTGAGCAGAAGTTATAGATCATGGCTTTGTTGTAGCGCTGTGATCTTTGGCTTAATATTTTAAGGAGGAAGCATGATGCAGAGAGGTTTTGTTAAAATCTTTAACCCAAAGCTGATTTTTTGTGAAATTTGTCTGCAACTTTGATTTTGATTCCTTTCTCAAATAGATTTTTTCTTAATGTTTAGAAAAGTTGGAGATCAATTTATGGTGTGATTCGGTTTTTAGATTTATTTATTTTCAAAGTTTTTTTTAATAGTCTTCTCTTTTTCCAGCAGAGAGAGAGCATCATTGCCTGAATTTAGCTTTGTGACTACAACAGCAAGACCTGTTCCTGTCTGGAGACGACTGTTATAATATCATCCTATCATTTTATGTTTGCTCTTTATCAATTTGAATAGATGTTTACATGTACTATAATTCGCATTTTGTCTTTTCGCAGTTCTCTAATTGCTACATCTGAGTCCAGAAGTATGTCTGAGTGTGTGCTTTGTCTGACTTTGCTCTTAAACGTCTTCTCCCCTTACTTTATAGCCATTTAGTTTTTAAACACTAAGAAGGAAAAAGACCTCTTGGCTTCCTAATATGAGATAAGTTCAGTCTCAGCCAAGTTGAAAATTGTGTCTAGGAAATCTATAAAGCCATGATATTGTGTTCATTAGCATGAACAATTTAGAATGAAGAAAATGATTAAAAAGTTAAGCATTGGTCTGTTTTTAATTTTTCCGGGTTTTAGGATGCATTTCTGGGGTTAGGATAGTCACTTAAGTAATTTTGAACAGATGCTAAAATACTTTTTTATACACTGTAATAACTTGCCTATTTCTTCTAAATATACTTAACTGAAATTGTTGCCAAGGCCACTTACCCAAATAATTTTTTAAAAAAGTTTCTTAGCTCTTCAAAGCCAACAAGGAGAATAATTTTCTTTTCAAGTAATACAGGATGATCTGTGGATTATAAATATTGAGAAATGTCTATTAAATGTCTAATTTACACAGTTTTCCATATTTTCCTCACTTGCAATCAAGACATCAAAGACAATCTTAAAAGCAAGGGGAAATTGTGTTGTGTGTCTAACGTGTTTAAAAGGTGTATGTTCATAATATTTATTTATAAGCAATATGGGTTAGAATTATTTATAAAGAGTGTGATTAAATCTGATCCTAAATATTTACTCCAAATACCTTTTTTTATAATGAGCATCATATAAAGCTTTCAGAAAATTAGAGTATTCCTTCATAGATTCCCATGAGGCATTTGAGAAGTTGGAAAGTTATACTTTATTAGAAAAGCCCAATTATACTTGATTCTTTTCACCCTTGTTTTTTTAGTTTCTTTAAGCCATGCTCATATTTTCACTTTTTTTTTTGCGCAGTTGACTGTTCTGCACTTTTTTCTTGAGTGTGCAGTGCATTTGTCTTCATGAAAAATAAAAAGAATGAACACATCAATCATAATGTAAATTATTTTGATCCACATTAGTTGATAATTGCTTTGTTAATACTAGGTTTGTGTTTAAAGGCAAAGTACATATATTTCGGAAGGTCTTCTAATATAATTATGACCTAGTAGCATACAGGACATTTTTAAAATTAGATTTTTGTTTTAGTTCATATTTGCAAACTAGCATATAGCCACAAGGAGTTCAGAGATACTTTCCCAAGTTAGTTCAGTATTTTTTCTTTTCAAGGAAAGAAGATTCTCTTCCCTGATGGTAGTGACTTAACTTGCTAGGTTAGAAACCCAAAGAACATAGACTGAAGAGAGACCATACTTGTTAACAGTTTTGATTGGTTCTTGGATGTGGACCATATACCAGCACCCTCAACATTACTTTGTCATCTTTCTTTTTCTTTCCCTTGCTTTTATATTAAAAGACAAAATAAAGCAAAGCAAAATTAAACATGCCATTGGGAATCAGAAGTCGAGATGATTTGACTCAGCAAGATCATTGTACTTTTTGAAAATTTCTATGAGAGCCAATAGGTCAGTTACATATTTAAATTCCTATGTGTTTATTAATTAAAGATAAGGATTTTCATTATTTTGTTTTCCTGAATAGGATTCTCATGGAGCTATGTGTAGATAACTGTACAGAATCACTTTTGTGTAATTGAATGAAGTGGTTTACCTCTGCATGATTGCATTATGGAAGCCTTTTATATATCTTTATATTTTTCAATATACTTAGATTTTACACTATTAGCAGTTCTAGTCATGCTATATTTGTTTTTTTTAAATAGAGTTTATAAATATTTATGCTCAAAATACAGATCAACTAAATATTTTTGGTCTTGTTTACAAGATAAATAATACTTTAAAGTGATGCAGCCCCTCAAGTGTCTTAGGAAAAAGTTATTGGTGCTAAAAAACCTTTCAATATCATTTTTGAACCTGTTATCTAGACTTCGCTAGGCTTTAATGTATGATCACTTGTGACTTACTCTAATCTAGCAGCATAAAGTGGTCTGTGGTAAGTCAGGTAAAGAGCCCAGCCTGTTAGAATTTAAAAATATGATACAGAATTACAGTACACTTATTTATGCCCAGCTTCCAAAAAAAGTAAGTAGTTTCTTCAGTTTGTCGTCAGCTCTTTTGATAAGAGGAACTTTAATCTGGCTAGAATTAAAAAAAAAAATGATACATTCAGCATGGCTCAGTTATCCCAAATTTCAAGTGGAAAACTTTTCTAGTCCTAAAAATATGTTGTAATCCTGCTCTGCTTCAAATTCCCATCTGTCTTTAACTGAACAGGAGGCGGCAGGGTAATTCTTACATAATAATAGAACATTTGATGAGTTGTAAAGGGATGCATTATTTACATTATACAAGTGTTGCGTTGATGTGTAGATTGTTTTCTACATCTAGAAGACTTCATTCCAGCACCTTAGTGAATGTTAAGATACAGTTTTTAAGTATCAACAAAGCATTCATAGATGTTTACTTTTGATTCTCAGAATCCTAAATCTGTTTTGGATGTGATATTACTTCAGAACATGTTATCTGGCACAAGACTTCCTTTAATAAATGGTTTAGTTTTGCTCAATTTCTGTGGATTGTTGAACCTAAAAACACCAAAGGAGTCTTTTCTGGTCTGGAGACTGGATTGTTCCAGTTTTTAATACCTGTGCCCATAAGTATCCCATTTCACGAATGTGTGTTGGCATGGGGAAAAAATTCCCTGCTCTTTGAGTGGAGCGAAAGTAATTGGTTAAGCTGTAGCAGCTTTTTTTTGGTTTATTTTTCAAAGTGATAATAAAACTTGAAAAAGGTAAAACTTGAATTAGAAAACTACTCTTGTATGCTTAGAATGTTTATAGTATTACATGTTTATGTGGGTTGTCAACATTTTTATTATTTATAGTTGAATTATGTTGTTTTGTTTGTTAAATATCCATAATGTTTATTATTTTTATATTTTGAAAAATTTTTAAATAAAATAGTCTTACTAAAAACAGTTGTTAACTTTTTAAAATTGTCCTGCATCTTGCATCAGTTATATTAATATGGAATAGAAAGAAGAATTTGAAGCCCTCAGGTATTTCACAGTTGAGAATTTTGAAAATATTTATATATGTGTGTGTGTATATATATACACACACACACACACACACACACACACATATATATATACACACATATACGTACAAGTGGCTCCACATTGCCTCTTCTCTCTACCCTCCATTCCCACTTTAAATTGTTCTAAGTCACCTTTGGTACCAATTTGTTATTGGCCTAGTGACTCCTTTTCTAACACACATACAGATCCTCCATACCCTTCTCCTTAATTCTTGCCTCTCTACTGCTAGAATTTATCTCTTTATTCTATTCGGGGGCCAGAAAGTTTCTCCTTATCATGAGTAATAAATGTAACTACTGTGTCAAAGAAAGACTGACATATATTCTGAAATGAAATTCTGTAAAGTGCTTATGCTGTCAGCCTCCAAAGCCATTGAAAGTTTCTAGAACTTCCCTCTAATTTTCAGTTTTCATCTCAGTGTTTTCCTGATTTGACCTGCTTTTTCAGCATTCAGCATGCTCATTTCATATTCAGTTTCACTGATTGATAAATATTGCAATTTTTTTTGTTTTCATTGCAGATATACCTTCTGTCATCTATAATGTGGGTTAAATAAGCTTGGTAATAACCTGTCTTCCACTTGTGACACTGCTTCTACAAGAAAATACGTTATCATCTCAGAAGTGCACAAGTCTCGATACAAATCTAGTTAAAGCTGCTTATGAAATAGTGGAGGTTTTTGGTTAATAATGATGTACTGGGTAAAATTATCTTTAAAACATACTTCACATATCCAGCGCTGTGGATATTTGCAGATTGAGCACATTATCAACCTTCACTTAACTTGAAAAAAATATTTCTGCATGAAGTATGAATGACTTTGGTCTTTAAAAGAAATATTTTTAAATCACATGTAATATCTTACTGTATAGAAAGCTAGAAGTTAAAAAGCCAGATAGCCTGTTTTTTGTAAATGATCACAGAACATTTAAAAATGGGGTTATATAATGTATACCATTTAGTGGTCTTTTTTCATTTATGATAGATCATACCTTTTTTTTTTTTTTTTTTAAAGATTTTATTTATTTATTTGACAGAGAGATCACAAGCAGGCAGAGAGGCAGGCAGAGAGAGGAGGAAGCAGGCTCCCTGCTGAGCAGAGAGCCCCATGCGGGGCTTGATCCCAGGACTCCGAGATCATGACCTGAGCCGAAGGCAGCGGCTTAACCCACTGAGCCACCCAGGCGCCCCGATCATACCATTTTTTAAAGCCCCTCTAGTTGTAGATGAATCATAATGTATTGAATCCTCATTTTGGGTGTGTAGGGCCTGTCTGTCCGTTTTTTATTTTAATATACATGATGCTGTACCCTTGAATATCTTTGATTATTCCTGCAAGATATATTCTCAAAACTACTGGGTTAAAGTGTACTTGTTTTTAAAACTCACGTTATGTTTTCAGTTTGATCTTTTACAGAGCAGAGATGTATAACTGTGTAGGTACTTCCACAGTTTAGCTTTGGAGAGCAGCATAAATTCAGTTTTTTGCACGTGTTAAAACCGAATTTATATGCCTATTTTAACAGGAACCAAATTATGCTTGATAGAGTAGTTCAACTCTGATGCAGTAGTGACACTATTAGTATTTTCCACAGTATGTTGCTGCCAGGATTTTGTATACCATACCAAAGTCTTTTTATAGTCTCATATCTAGTCTGTATTGAAAGGACAAGTAATCTTTACATTTATTAAATAAGATAAAACAAATGGCAGAATCAGGACTGGAATTTCCACTTCTCAATATCACAAGCACTAGAAGAATACACAAAGACCACATAATTTATAGCAATGACAAACTCCCCATATTTTTTTAAATTTCAACTCCAAACTGCTTTTCTTCAGGAAAACAATTTGTTTTCCCCATGAAATTCATGAACATTTGTTTCTGAAACACAAAGCATGAAATGGACTAAAGGAAATTATATAGAAATGGGAAGACAATGGGTTCCATAGATTTTCCTTCTATGTCCTAAACAAAAAAATTTTAAAAATTGAAAAAATAATCTATTTTCTTGGGAAGAATAAAATCCCTTGCAAACCATGAACATTTTCCTGAGCTATTTATGTAATGGTGATGTTTTATCTAATATTTATCTAATTCACTACATTGTATGACATTAATTCAGTATCTGAGGGTTTGCAGTGTTGTGTTTTCTTGCCAGTCTTTGATTCACCTTTTTAAAACCTAGAATGTGTTACTGAAGTATGGAACAATACACTTTGTGTTTAGTGCTATGAGAATCATGATTCTGATTATATAAAATGAGTATGCAATGTATTTGAGGATTTTGAATTTAGGAAATGGAGTTAATGAAAAGACTTCTGACTTCAAGGAGGATAGAGTGCAAGTTAAACGCAAAGTAAGCTTTTAAAATCTCCCACATTTTTGAAACACTTAATGTTAAAACGTTACTTATTCCAAAGATCTCATTTAAATAAAAAATTTCAGGGTTGTTACCATACAATTTTTAGAAGTAATATCTATGACGTAAGACTTAATGATCATCACTTTTTATTAGAAGTTGATGTTAGGAAGAAATACTGAGAGATGTCTGCAATTTTGGAGTTAGAAATGAATAGCAGTCAAATTTGTACTAAGTTTAATGCAGCATTTAGTTTTTGTGTGATAAGTCTAGTAGG